CATCATGGTAGGACATAGTGGTCTGCAGGCAGCAATGGTGCTGTAAAAGTAGTTGAGAGTTCTACATCTTGCAGGCACACACTTCCACAGTGACACATTTCCTCCAATAAGACAACACCTACTCCAACAAAGCCACATCTCCTAATTGTACCACTGCCTATGAAATTACAGGGGCCAATTACATCCAAACTACCATGGTAAGCAATGGGGAATGTCATTCTGTGTATATGTTTGTCTTATTGGTTTGATGAATAAAACACTGGCCAGAAACTGCCACTAGCCAACCATAGAGGTCTGGAGATCTGTATGGACAGGCAGGAAGTGACGTAGCTGGACAGAAAGAGGATATATGCAGGGACAAACAGGAAATTGCTCTCTTCTCTGTGGAGATGCTGAGCAGTCATCATGTAGCAGGCAAAGGAGTTGCAGGTCTGGCATTCCCAGTAAGCCAAGACCACATGGAAATACATAGATTAGTAGTTATGGGTTAATAATTAAGACAGAGCTAGCCAATAAGAAACGCTAATCACCAGCCAACAGCTTAATAACTAATATACCATCCATGTGTTTATTTGGGGCTCAAGGGTCACAAGGCCTGCCGGGCCAAGAAAAGTCACATTACAGGTAAGGAATTGTTTTTATTTCTCTACAGACTTGAAATCACAGGAGGATAAGCAGCAAAGAAGAGAAATGATTTGGAAACCGTGATCAATGCAATGACTTACTAAGGAAGATAATATGATGTTAATAAATCACAAGCTATTGTTTGGAAATTCTAATTACAGAACCACCAGTCCAAATCAAACCATAGTTGATCCTTGTGCTGGTTAGTTTTTGTCAGCTTGACACAAAATGGAGGGGCTGGGCTACCCAAGCTCTTAGAAGCCTAGAAGACTATGAGTGAGTCACAGACACTGAGCTATTAACCCTGGTGGAGTTTGGTTTTGCTTTGATCTGACTATTACTATTCCCTAGTTCTTCCCTTTTAGAATAAGAAAGTAGCCAGGTGGTGGTGGTGCATGCCTTTAATACCGGTCTAGAGGCAGAGGCAGGTGATCTCTGTGAGTTTGAGGCTAGCCTGATCTATAGTGCAAGTTCCAAAACAGTCAGGGCTACACAGAGAAACCCTGTCTTTGGAAAACCAAAAGAAAGTATATAACTCATTTCAAATTTTATAGGAGCCCACAGTTGAGACTTTTAAAATGTTGCAAATTTTTTAAAATGTGGGACTATGTTTGGGCTAGAGAGATGGCTCAGTGGTTAAGAGAACTGGCTTCTCTTCCAGAATTCCCAGCAACCGCATGGTGGTTCACAACCATCTATAATGGGATCTAATGCTCTCTTCTGGTGTGCATGAAGACAGAGCACTCACATACATAAAAGGGGGACTATGTGGCATATTGTGATATTAACGTGGGATCCTGGGATAAATAAGAAAGTAAAGATTAAAGTTTAAAAGTGTTTGTATGAAGTTACCCAAGGGTCAACTGTGGTGATATCTTGTTTGTACCTGAAGATCAGAGGGCAGAGCGAGGCACTAGTTAACCATAGAGATCTGGAGGTCTGTACAGACAGGAAATGATATGGCTGAGCAGAGAGAGGAATATAAGGTAGGAAGAGACAGGAGCTTGGACCTTTTTTGGCTGAGAAATTGGCAAGGTAAAGTGTGGCCATGGCTATGCTCCTTTGTCTCTTTGATCTTTGAGCATTTACCCCTATATCTGACTCTGGGCTTTTATTATTATTTGGGGAGGGGGACATTTATTATTAAGACCAATTAGAACTCATGCTACAGTCAACTGTACTGGTTTTTCTGTCAACTTGATAGAAACTAGTCATTTGTGAAGAAGGAACTCAAATGAGGAACTGCCTTCATCAGTTGGCCTGTAAGCATGTCTGTGGGGCACTTTTTAAATTAAAGATTGGTGTGGGAGAGCCCAGCTAGCTGTAGGAAGTGCCACCCCTGGTCCTAGGTTTTGTACAAGACTGCAAGCTGAGCATACTATGGGGAGCAAGTCAGTAAGCAGTGTTCCTTCATGGTCTTTACTTCGGTTCTGGCCTTGATGATGGGCTGAAATAATCCTTTCTCCTGTTGAGCTGGTTTTGGTCAGGGTTTTATCACAGTAGCAGAGAAGCAAACTTGGACAATCCTTTATAAAGATTTATACATACAATGAATTTAATAGTTTGCCTACCTTAAAATTAGTGTATTTATACTGAAATTATAAATACAGAAACTATAATCACCAAGTAAATGACCTCATCATTTTATTCCATATTATAACTGCATGAACACTGGTATATACAATAATAAAAATGCTGAAATTATAAAATGGCCTTAGAAATTAAACTTTGAAAGACTTACAATGTTAGCTTTTTTGTTTTATTTTGTTTTGTTTTGTTTTTTGAGACAGGGTTTCTTTGGTAGCCTTAGCTGTCCTAGAACTAGCTCTGTAAAACAGGCTGGCCTCAAACTCACAGAGGTCAACCTGCCTCTGCCTCCTGAGTGCTGGGATCAAAGGAGTGCACCACCACCACCTGGCAAAATGTTAGCATTATGTAATAGTTCTCTACTATGAAAAATATTAGCCATCTTTAGATTTTTCTCTCCTTTTGTAGCATCTTGTCCTGTCTCTCTTTAGTCCTTTCCTTTCCTCTTCCCACTAGGACTACAGGTGTCAGTCATATGCCAGACATTTAATACCTCCAACAGAAATGCCAGTTTGGTTTATTGTACTGCCAAAAAACTTGAGTAAACCCCCCCCAAGATCTTCCATCGGGATCCTTCTGGGCCTGACTCATCTGTCTGTTCAATGGTACTTTAGTGTGATGTGCTCCTACACACATCCTCTGTGTGTCTGATCATGTCCTAATCAACTGTTTTTTTCTGACTGTTATCTTAAATCTATGCTTGCCTCCTTGTCTCTTTTAACACAAAATATGATTCAAACTCACAAATGTAAGAAATTCATCAAGCTGTAAATAATTTCAGCCAGTTCTGTGTTCTTACTGTCTGTATCTAACACTTGCTGCTCTGTAATGGAGATTCCCTAGTTTCCAACTAACCAAAAAGTCTCTTAAGGGAAGAAGGGTGTTTTCACTTTTTCTGTACATACCGCTCATGTGCCAGCACACTAGCAATGTCATATATTGTCCATTATACTTTATAAACTACAAATATCAGGAAATATGTTGTAAAATTTCCTCCTGTGTGTTCATCAGGGTGACATGATAAGCATGTTTTTGCACAGAATCTTCATTTATACATTTACAGATACAAGCAAAAAAAGAAAACTGAACATTCACCTTCACTACTTTTCATCTCAAATTAAAAATGCCCTCACATATAATCAACTAACTAAAACCATGATTTTGAGAATTAAATGAAATTAAATTCTAACAATGAAAGCCACCATGGTAACCTTGTTTGGATCCTAACTTTAATCAAATGACTATGAAAGAACATGCTTCAGATAACTGAGAAAATCTGAAGTGAATCGGTTATTACACCAAAGAATCATTAATTTTGTTATTTACTTATGTAAGAAAATATCTGTTTTTAAGAGAGATATCCTGTATCTCTCTTAAATGACCACAACTTTCAGAAAGGAAGAGGGAGGAAAGGATGGAGAAGCAGGAAAGAAAGACAGCAAAGGGAAGTCTGAGAGAGAAGGAAGCAGAAGAGATTTCATGAAGTGACTGGAGGAACAGCAACTGCTCACAGCAGCGAACCTGTAATGAGGGAAGAGCACACAGCTCTCTCTAACTGAATATGTGTTTGGAATGTTTCATGGTTAACAATCTTGTACATCAGAAGAAATCAAACTGAACTCAAAATAACCAAAAGTTAGTAAAAGTCAAATGTTATGCTATTACAGGCTTGGTTGTTCAAATAAGAAGTAAAAATGTTGACTACTTCACAAGAGCTTATAAAACACCACCAACAGCAGTGTCACTCTTTAAGAGTCAGAAGGATGTAGGTTTTGCTTATGAACATGCCACTTTGGTAAATTTAACATTGTATAGAGACACACAATAAAGGAACATAAACTAAATAAATATTTGCAAAAAAATAAATTAATTTTAGAGATCCTAAGGATAATTACTAAGACAAAGATGTTAATGAGCTCACCATTGTCAGTCCTAACTAAATACTTCAAACTGAACAACATCAACTGTAGGGCCATGGTGAAATGATAAGATCCATCTCTCTTGAAGACTCTCCTACACAGTACAGCTAGGTTATTTTGTTCTGTTGGTTATTTTTTTAAGCACACATTCAGAACCTCATTAAAAAGAAAAGGCATAACCATTTGCTGACATTAAATAGGAAACTCTAGGCACAGAACATCAGTTTTGCATTTACCTGTGTTTGCTTTCCCTCAGCCTTTTATCATGACTTTTAAGGGATAGTCGATATTAGAATATAGTCAGTTGAGAAGGAGTCTTTGACAGTAAGGGGATTAATATTTTTCTCTCAGAACAAATGTTATCCATCTATTGACTGAAGAGAACACCCTGAGTATAACTGTAGTACCCAGCTTGTAACATCTATCACAATAAGGACAAATCTAAAACCACATGCCTCAATGCTCTATATTGTGAAGCAAATTTAGTAAAATAGTCACTTGTTGCTTAGGTCTGCTTTTTAAAAGCAAGACTTTGTTGTCCTGATTCAAAAATTTTTAAATTACTTTTCTCATGTATGGGTAGAACTTAGAACCTTGAACTTAGATAGAACTGGACAGAACTTAGCTAGAACTTAGACAGAACCTAGAAATCAAACATTGCACAAATCAGCACCGATGTTGTTCTTTTAGTTATTTTAGCTATGAAAGTTGTTAGCTCACTCATTATTCTAGTTAATAGTATTTACAAACTCATTGTATCTAAGCAAAACTGAATTCTTTCCAAGTGAAAATCTATGCAGAATAAAAAGCCACACTATTTCAAGCAGTAAAAGCCAAAATTAAATCAAAGGTTTGATAAGATCCACAGACCTTCTGCAATCATGTCTTCCATCTCTGTGTCAGATGAGTTATCTGCATGCTTTGTGTTATTTTGTAGCTCTGGCTGCACACACACAGAATTCACCACCTGATTATCCAAAAGAGGCCTCTTTTTCACAGGTTGTTCTATCAGCAAAGATGAACGACTCACCTTTAAGTGAAAAAGAGAATGAAAATAAATCATCTGTAAAAATTAGTCAGAAATAGATGAGTCTAATTTTAAAATGACCCCTCTGGAAGAATGGTAGTTGTGGTATTCACTTACTCAATGATCAAATCCAATCATTAAAGGTAAATCATCAAGTAAAAGGTTCTATATATATACGCCACTGCTAGCCAGTGGCAGAGTACATACTGCAGTGGCTGTCAAATTCAATGCACTGCTGTTTTAAGCAAGTAGCTAAAAGAAGTCTTAAAATCTAGTGATTCCTTACATTTGTAATATTAAAACAGAAGCAATCAGATTACCCTGCAAAGCACTGAAAGGGAAAAAGTTGCTGTTTGAATTGATTTATTTTGCAGTTCTGGGGATTGAATGCAAGGTTTTGCACTGAGATATACCCTCCTCTGTGTCTTTAGAATGTAAGATAGCTTTTCACTATGTAGCTCCTCTTGCATCTCACCCTCTGTCCAGTGCTGGGATTCTAGTCCTAGGCAATGTCCATGCCCAGTTTCATTTTTCACAGTACTATCTCTTTTGATCAGAGCCTTGAATACACAGGACTAGCTCTCTAATAAAAGGCTGTTTGTATCTGCAGACATTTTATGATTTGGTGGTGAAGATCAGGGAAACCACCATGGGTGTGTTCATCTTTGTACAGGGGATACTTTACCAGCTGAGCCTTCTCCCCAGCTCACACTGCCCCCAGACTGTGAGTGTGTGTGTGTGTGTGTGTGTGTGTGTGTGTGTGTGTGTGTGTGTGTGATGTGATGAGGAAAGGATTACTACAGCACATATGTGGACAAGAGAACAACTTTATGGAATTAAGTATGCTCTTTCTACCTCTACGTGGGTCCCAGGGGTCAAACTCAGACTGCCAAGTTAGTACAGAAATGGCTTTTACCTGCTGCACCATCTTGCTGGTGGCTTTTAAAAATACAGAAACACCAAATACACTGGACCTGAAAACAAATTCCTTTTGGCACATAATAATCAAAGCACTAAATATACAGAAAAGAGAAAGTATTAAAAGCTGCAAGGTAGGGGCTGGAGAGATGGCTCAGAGGTTAAGAGCACCAGCTGCTCTTCCAGAGGTCAATTCCCAGCAACCACATGGTGGCTCACCACCATCTGTTATGAGATCTGGTGCCCTCTGCTGGTGGGCAGATATACATGGAAGCAGAATGTTGTATACATAGTAAATAAATAAATCTTAAAAAAAAAAAAGCTGCAAGGCAAAAGACCAAGTAACATATAAAGGTAGACCTATCTGAAAAACAGCTGGCTTCTAAATGGAGACTCTTAAAGCCAGAAGGGCCTGGACAGATGTTCTACTGACTCTAAAAGACTATGGATGCCAGCCCAGATTACTGTACCCAGCAAAACTTTCAATTTCCATGAATGGAGAAAATAAGACATTGCATGATAAAACGAAATTTAAGCCATATCAAGGGGATATAAATTGGAAAGGAAGAAGCCAAAATATCTTTATTTTCAGGTAATAAGATAGCAAACATAAGTGACCCTAAAAATTTCACCAGGGAACTCTTACATCTGATAAACACTTTCAGCAAAGTAGCTAGATATAAAATTAACTCATAAAAATCAGTAGCCCTCCTATATACAAATGACAAATGGATAAATAAAGAAGTTGGGGAAACAACACCTTTTACAACAGCCACAAATAATATAAAATATCTTGGGGTAACTCTAACCAAGCAAATGAAAGACTTGAATGATAAAAAAACTTTAAGACATTGAAGAAAGTATCAGAAAATAGGAGATCTCCCATGCTCATGGATCACTAGGATTAATACAATAAAACTGGCCATCCTACCAAAAGCAATCTACAGATTCAATGCAATCCCCATCAAAACTCCAACACAATTCTTCACAGATCTTGAAAGGAAAATTTTAAGCTTCATAGGGAAACACACACACACACACACACACACACACACACACACACACACAATAGGATAGTTAAAACAATCCTAAATATAAAAGACCTGTTGGAAGTATCACCATCCCCGACCTAAATTGTACTACAAAACTATACTAATGAAAACAACATAGTATTAGCATAAAAACAAACATGTTCGTCAATGGATTCAAACTGAAGACCCAGAGAAATCCACACACCTATGGACATCTGGCTTCTTATTAAGAAGGCAGAAATACACACTGGAAAAAAAGATAGCATCTTCAACAAATGGTGCTGGTCAAACTGGATGGCTGAATGTAGAAGAATCCAAATAGATTCATACTTATCACCCTGCACAAAACTCAAGTCCAAACAGACCAGACTTCAACACAAGCCACATACATTGAATCTCATAGAGATAGTAGAAAACAGCCTTGAATTCACTGGCACAGAAGACTTTCTGAACAGAACACGATTAGCACAGGCACTAAGATCAACAGTTAATAAAATGGGACCTCATGAAACTCAGAAGCTTCTGCACAACAAAGGACACCGTCAATAGGACAAAGCAGCAGGCTATGCATGGGAAAAGATTTTTACCACCTGCATATCCAATAGAGGGCTAATATCCAAAATATAAAAAGAAACCACCCAAAAAACTAGATATCAAGAAAACAAATAACCTAATTTAAAGATGGGTACAGATCTACAGTGCCTAGCTCAGTCATCATCAGGGAACCTTCCTTCTGCAGCAATGAGAATAAATATTAAGACCCACAGCCAGACATTATGCAGAAAAGAGAGGGACCCTGGAATAATCAGCCCTAAATGGGGTATACCCATCAAATCCTTCCCCTCAGAGTTCAGGGAACCCTGTGGAAGAGGAAGCAGAAAGAATGTAAGAGCCAGAAGTAATGGAGGACTCCAAGCAAACAAGCCCTCTAAATCAACATGATTAAAGCTCGTATGAACTCACAGAGACTGAGGCAGCACGCACATAGCCTTCCCTGGTCTGTACCAGGTTCTTTAGTGTTTTTATGTGATCCCTTGGTTTACAAATGAATGGGTTTCTGATTTTTGTACCTTCTCTTGTGGGCTTTTTTTTCCTTCTGTTGGTTTGTCTTGTCTGACTTTAAAGTGAAAGTTTGCTTTATTTCATTTATTATCCCTTAGAAGCCTGTTTGTTTTCTAGTAAGAGACAGAAAGGGAGTTGATCCAGATGGGAGAGGAGGTAGGGAAGAACTGGGAGTATTAGAGGGAGGGGAAAACATAATCAGGATATATGTGAGAAGAAAATCTAATTTCAATAAAAGGAAAAATGGGGTACAGATCTTAATAGAATTCTCAAAAGAGGAAATCCAAATGGCTGAGAAGCACTTAAAGAAATGTTCAACATCTTGAGTCACCAGGGAAATGTAAATCAAGACTACTTTGAGATTTTATCTTATACCCATCTGAATTGCTAAGATCAAAAAAACAAATGACACCTCATGCTGGCAAGGATATGGAGTAAGGTGAACACTCATCCATTGTACAACTACTATGGAAATCAGTGTGGCAGTTCCTCAGGAAGATGGGAATTGATCTACTCAAGATACAGCTATACCATTCTTGAGCATATTCCCAAAGGATGCTTCATCCTACCACAGAGACGCTTGCCCAACTATGTTCACTGCTATTCTATTCCTAATAGCCAGAAACTAAAAACAACCTAGATGTCCCTCAACAAATGAATGTATAAAGAAAATGTACATTTATTTACACAATGGTATATCACTCTGCCATTTAAAAAATGAAATAATGAAATTTGCAAGTAAATGGTTGGAACTAGAAAAATATTATCCTGAGTGAGGTAACCCTGACCCAAAAAGACAAATATGGTATTATTCATTTGTATGTGGATATTAGCTGTTAAATCAATGATAACCAAGCTACAATTCATAGAACCACAGAGGTTAGGTACAGAGTAAGGAACTGGGGGAGGGAAATAGGGAATATAATAGTTATGGATGGATGGGGCAGGAGACTGGAATGGGAAGATCAAGTGGGGCGGGGGAGGGATACAACAAAGGAAACACATGGGGAGATAATTAAAATTAAGGGCAATCTGAGGGGTAGTATAAAAACCTAACACAGTAGATGCCTCCTAAAATATATAGATACATATATATTTTATGTATTCATGATACTGAACACAATTTGAAGGTGATGTAAATGAAATCACCAAATAATAGGAAGACAGAGCCCCAACTGGACATCTCTAGTCACCAAATGAAGCTTCCAGTACTGGGATTGGATTACATGTAAGTGAGTTGTTGGCCAAAGTTGTCTCATGGAAATCCCCAAACAACCAGGCTGCTGCCAAGACTGTAAATTTCTCTCCACAAACTGACAACAAGGCTCCTTTGCTGAAGACAATACCTACACAGTTCACTGAACATGGAGAAGTTGAGCTGGTGTCTCCATGGAGCCTTCAGCCCAATGGTCTAGTATACTTGGTAAAGAAGGGTACTCTGAACGATGTCAAAAGAAAAACATAAACGCCACCCTAGTCACAAACCCTTTGATGTTCCATGATGTTCTCCCTGAAAGATATGCTAGTGCAATGGTGGCATAAATTGTGTAGGAGTAATCAATGTTGGATTTGACTTAAGGCCCAGTCCACAAGATGGAACCCGTACCCAACACAGTTTGGGTAACCAAGAACCTGAGACTAGATAGCCCAGGAACGTACAGCAAAATCAAATGTTCTATTTTTTTTTAAGTATTAAAATTACTCCTGTGGTATATAGGAATAAATACGACTATCCCTACCCCCCTCCAGCCAGACAATATGCTGAGAATGAGAGACTTGGTAACATTTCAGCAATAAACAAGGCTTCCCATCAAATCTCTCTCCTTAGGGCTCAGGAATACTACTAAAGAGAAGGCAGAAAGAGTGTAAGAGTCAGAGGGGATGGAGGACACCAAGAAAACAAGGTCCTCTAAATCAACAGGATCAATGTACATAAGAACTCAAAGACTATGGCAACATGCACTGGGTCTGTACAGGTCTGCACCAAATAGGGTCCTAGAGCTAAAAGAAGTGAACACACGCCCTCATGCCTACCCTAGAAACAACTCCAACTGATAACCACTTGCAAATAAAATTTTAGTTTTCTCCAAGGGAGTTTCACTGCAGAAACAAACTACCCTTAAGGATAGTCTGCACATAGGCTGTAGGCCAACAGAAAGCAAATTCTTACAGTGTTATATCAGGGCTTTTTAAAAATTATCTTATTTTTTATTTTTATTTCATTTATGAATTTCTCCTGTATCTTTTTACACTACAAATCCTTTATATATATAAAAATGGCTTCCAGTTTAGTGTTTTTATGGGACTCTTGAGTGTGCAAACAAGTGGGTCCCTGAGTCAAATCTGTTTTGTGTACCTTTTCTTGGGCTCTGTTGCTTCTGTTTTGTTTTGTCCTCTTCTGATGTATTAGTTTTAGTCTTATCTGATCTTTTTTTTTTTTTTTTACTATTATCCCTTAGAAGCCTGTTTTCTAATGAGACAGAAAGAGGATGGATCCAGATGGGATGGGAGTTTAGGAGAAACAGAGTAGAGGGAGGGGAAACCATAACTATGATATATTATGTAAGAATAAAAGCTACTTTTTTGTTTTGGTTTAGTTTTTGTTTTGTTTTGTTTTTTGAGACGAGGTTTCTCTGAATGATAGCCCTGGCTGTCCTGGATCTCACTCTGTACACCAGGCTGGCCTCAAACTGAGATCTGCCTGCCTCTGCCTCCCAAGTGCTGGGATTACTGTGTGCCACAACCACCTGACAAAACCTACTTTCAATAAAGAAAAAAAGTCCATACTTTATATATTTTATAGATAGGGATGCTAATGGTCAAAGAGTTCAAATTACTTCTTTACAAAGCAATATTAAGGCTAGCACTCAAATCTTCTGACTCCTCAGCAACATAACCACTGTAATTATAGAACAAACAGAAACTCCTCAAACACTATGATGCTAACATCAACAACAAAATAGTCATTGTGTTCAGTATCATGAATACATATTTTAGAAATATTTTCAGGAAAAATTTAAACCAAGAATATGTACTGAATCTTTAGGCAAGCCCTCAGCTAATCTGGAAAGAATGCTGGTTACGGAATGGTGGGAGACCAAAGCTTACTGGAAATCTCTACAGAGGCTGGAGAGATGGCTTAGCAGTTAAATACACTGGCTGCTTTTTGCATAGGACCCTGGTTTGACTCCCAGCACTCATATGATAGCTCACAGCCACTTGTAACTTCAGTTTCAAGGGTCCAACACTCTCTTCTGACTTCTAAGGGCCACTGGCACATACATGGTACACAGCAGACAAAACACCCATCCCCATAAAATAAAATTTTTTAAAAATTAGGATAAATCAAAATTTTAAATTGAAACACTCATATTCATTTCAGTAACTTAATATGCCTCAAGCAAAACTTATAAAAGTAGTCCTATTATGCAATGCTGCTAATGGCCTATACTTCTAGTGGATGAGGAAACAATCTCATCCAGTATCAAAATAATACTACTTCTTGGAATTTATGCTAAGAAAACTATTTAAAATCTGAACAACTTACATACAAAAGTATAATATCCTCCTCTTGTGTGTGTGTGTGTGTGTGGGGGGTGCTGAAGACCTGAACAAGCACCTTAAACATGCTAAACATGCACCCTAACATAAAGCTGTACATTAAACTAAACAGTGATAAAATGAAAACAGTGTCTAAAATGATTTATATATTATAGCTGTCCATAGAGTAGAATACTGTGTCACCTTTCAAAATGTACAAAGATATTATTAATGCTTACTTATGAAGTAAAAAAAGAATTGTATATAAAATAATAATCTTGATTATGTGAATATACATGTACTGTGATATTATTATTTGTTCTATAGTTCAAGTTTTAAACTTTTGGTTGTGAGCCTAGCTTTTAACGGCTAAGCCATCTCTCCAGTCCTAAAGCATGTATTACTTATATAACATGGAAAAGTAAAGTTGTAATTGTCAGCACAGTGGTGATAATAAGTAATAGCTATGGATATTAAATGCCAAGTACAACAAAGAATAATGCTAGCGTATTTAATTCTTACACACCAAAAGGGCATCTCCATCAGGCAGATAAGCAAAATTAAGATCAGAAATGGCTAGTACAAAATGTCTCAGAACCTATATAGAAAAATACATAGAAGATCAGACAGTCAAAATTCTATACTAAAAAAAAAATCAACCTTTAAAATAAGATTATATATATTTTCTTAGAGAACAATAATAAACAATTTTTTAAGATAGTGTTATATGGCTGAAATAATTTTTAAAACAAAAAGCTTTCTACTTACAGGAAATGGCTCCAATCCTTCCTGAATCACAAAGCCTTCAATAACATGGGTCAAGATCTGTGGTTTGACAATAGCCTGTGGAGGCTTGTTTTCTAGGTTGGGAGTGCTGCTGGCCATAGATGTGCTACTGCTCCTTGTGGCAGCAGCTGGAATTAAGAGTGGTGGTGGAGGAACAGAGCCATGGGCGGGATCTGATGGTGACTTAATCACTGAAGCACTGACTGAGGCCACAGCAGGCAACTCCACTTGCTCTGAAAGAAAGGGGAGTGATCTTTAGCCATCTGCCCTGCAGAGATGGAAGCTCACTTAGATCTGCTGTTTTCCAAGTACATTATGCTCACTGTCTCATTTAATCTGCACAATACCCATATAAGGAACAAACTAATATCCCCATCCTACAAACATACACTAACATGCTCAAAATTACCATCTAAACAGTTTTTATTACCCCCATAAAACATGAAAATACCCTAAATATCATTTTCAAGAATAACTACAAAAATGGCCAGTTGAGATTGTCTGCTTTTAAACTATACAGATAATAAATACCTTACATTCCTCTCTATTCCACATAGACAAATACTCATTTGAAAAATTAAAAAGGATCACAAACTCCCAAGAATAAGTAGGAATTTCAGTTGTTTAGGTAGGTCATAGACTGTAACTTCAAAGCAGGGAGACCCTCCAAATCCTCTCAAAGGCACTTTGCTTTCTTTCAACTAGTGTTGACTGTGTGACTGGGGAAATGCTGGGGCACTTGGCAGGCCCACAGGAAGGGTCAAGCTAGCAATCTGATGGGTGAAAGAGTTACTTACTGCCCACCAGTAGCACCAGCCCTTGACAGTCCACACTAAAGTAGAGAGGAGAAGCAGCTTATATCTAGACATACTAATGAGAACAGATTTCTGAAGAAAACAGAAGGCATGTATGCAAAGACACTCATTGAGCAATCAGGTGGCCAATGTCATGTTCAATGCTATCAGGTTGTACCTCATTTAATCTACAAGTAGTCTATGGGCGGTCAATGTTATCACCTCTATCTTAAAACAAGCCACAGACAGATTAACTTACTTGCCTTAATGGTATACAACAAACAGGCAATGAAACTGTGGCACTGTCCCAGATAGTATGATGTTAGAGCACATGTTAATTCTTCTCCACTATTGTATAAAAAAAGACTGACATCAGCCAAGTGGTGGTGGCACATGCCTTTAATGCCAGCATTCAGGAGGCAGAGGCAGATGGATCTCTGTGAGTTCGAGGCCAGCCTGGTCTCCAGAGTGAGTGCCAGGATAGGCTCCAAAGCTACACAGAGAAACCCTGTCTTGAAAAACCGAAAAGAAAACAAACAAACAAACCAAAAAACCCAACAAGGACTGATACCACCAGCTAATGAGGCTAAAAATATTTTAAAATATAGCTAACTTAGGTGGAAAGGAAGAAATAACAGGCTCCCTAAAGAACAGAAAAGTCAACTGATAAAGCAGCATAGTAGAGACTGGGGTTATAAATCAGTGGAAAATGCATGAGTAGCAAGCACAGGGATAAACCCCCTATACCACAAAATTGTATTAAAATTCAAAATAAAAAATGGAAACACAAAAAGCTTATCCTTAGTAAAACCAGTGTAATTAATGTCCTATAGGTTTCACCACCACTATTATAGTGATAATAAAGTAACCCATGTCCAAAAAGATAAATATTCAAACACCTGTTTAATGACATATAATTGGACAGGCCTTTAATCCCCACACTTAAGAAGCAGAGGCAGGCAAAATCTCTAAGAGTTCCAGGCCAGTGAGCACTACAGAGAGAAACTATGTATCAAAAACAAACAAATCCTCTCTTCTAGGCATAAAATAAACCCAAAGCTACAGAATCTATTTAACTAGGAAAAGAAGAAGGGCAAGATAAAGAGGGGGGGAAAGAAGGGATGGAGAGAGAGGGGAAGGAGGGAGGAAAGGGTAAGAAAAGCATCCATAGGATGGTAACTTGCTAATGTCTGTGAATATATGCACAACTGTCCACATGTATTATCAAGCAGGAACACTACAGTAGCCCTACCCATATGCCAAATCATCACATCTACTTCTATGGGACAAAAGACAAAAAAAAAAAAAAAAAAAATCTATGAGGAACTAAAATAAAATAAAATTTGAAATAGCCCTTACAGATTTAAAGACACTTTCTTGCTCAATAAATATAAAATTACATGCTATGGTTTAAATAGACATTTCAAAATCCCTATGTTAGGAAATAAGTCCTCAACGGAAGTATTGAGAAGTAGAACTTTATGGATGGTGAGCAGGACTCATTTCCATAGTAGAGAAACTCTGTAGGATGCTCACATTCCCAGTGATGCTTCTACCATGTAATAGCTCAGCAGGAAGGTCCTTACCAGATACAGCACCTTCGCCTTACAGTCCCCACACTCCAGAAACACAAGCCAACTACAGTTCTCTTTAGTATAAAGCCCTAAGTCTATGGTCTATTTATTTGTTATGAGATGGTTCCTATTAGGTAGCCTATGCTGGTTTCAAACTCCACATCTTCCTTCCTCAGTCTCCTGAGTGCTGATGCTACAAGCATATTCCATCACAACCAGCCCAAGTCCACAAAATGGACTAAGACACTGTATTAAGTATAATTTTTCCAGAAAATACTGCTCAGTGATAATCTGAATTAACCTTTAGGTTATGTGTATAATAAAGTTCTCTCAAGTTGTGTTAAAAACATATCTGTAAGTTTCTGTCTTTTAAAACAATAAAAATAACAAACATCTATTATTTGACAATTTTTAAGAAGCTGCTAAAAAGCAAAAGCATGAACAACACTGGCAATTCACAACAAAAAGAAACACTACTATTGTGCTGTACTGTACTGTACTGTCCTCTAGGCAGCTCTATGACTTGGGAATAGGTTACTGAATCTATTTATAGATACACACTGGCAGTGAATTTGTCCTACCTTTTTTAATGGAAACTTTTAAAGATTTTTACATATTTATAAAAGTTGAATCATGGATGGAAGCAAGTCTATTTTTTAGGATTTATTGTTATTTATATGTATTTATATATTATTTATTTATTTATTTATATGTGAATGTTTGCCTAGTGTGTGCAGTGCCTGTGGAGGCCAAAAGAGGGTATCAGATCCCCTGAAACTGAGAGTTACAAGCAGTTGTGAGCTGCCATGTCCATTCTGGGTTGCAAACTCTGATCGGCAAGAACAGTAAAGGTGTTTAACTACTAGCCCATCTCTCTAGCCACAAACAAGTCTATTTTTGTAAGTTAGTTCCATCATTTGATAAGTTATTATAAATATCACTTTCTTACTCCCCCCTTCCACATGCCATAGAGGAATGAAGTAAATTACAGAAGACTGAAATGTCTACACTGTAGCTGGCAGCATCTAGAAAAACAGGCTTGGAAGGTTCTCCAACAATACACAAGGAAAAAGCATGATGACAAACCTGTGTCCCAACATTTCGTGTCTTATCAATAAGAGTCACACTTAACTTGTAATTAAAGCAGAACCACCATCAAGTTTATTATTCAAGTAAGCTGGTATTTCTACTTTTGAATCAAAAGTACATCTGCAGCAACAAATGCTTTCAGAAAAAGAAACTATACATACTGGCTGAAAATGTAGGTTAGTAGTAGAGCTTGCTAGCATGCCTAAGACCCTGATTTTCATCCTCAGCACCACCCAAAAGTAAAACAAAACAAAAACCCTTCTACCTTTTTTAAGGCAATGTCTCTCTTGTTTCTACTGCTGCCCTGTACAGACTGCCTGGCTCACAAGTTTCCAGGCAAACTCTCTGGTCTCCACCTCCCATCTCACTATAGGAATATTATGATTACAAATTGCTATATGGTTACAAGAATCTGAACTCAAGTCATTGGGCTTGCATGACAAAGCACTTTTACCCAATGAGTTTTCCCCCTTTTGGGGGAGAGGGAGGTCAGAGAACAACCTTAGATGTTGATTTTTAGACAGGGTCTGTTTTGTTGTTTGCCAATACACACTAGCTAGCTGGCCCACAGGTTTCTGGACTTTCCCTTGTCTCCACCTCTCATCTAACTGTGGGAACACTGGGATTACAGGAGTATACCACTGTGCTAGCTTTATGTGGACTCTGGGGATCTGAACTCAGGACCTCACACTTGAGCAGCAAGTGCTTTATCCACTAAGCCATCTTCCTAGTCCTCTATTCTAATTTTAAAGCTAGAAATAGCTAATACAGGAATATGAGTAGCCACTAATAATCACAATGCTTGAAATGTCATGGTTTTTTTTTGGGGGGGTGGTTTTAAAACTTTTATAAACCAGTAACTTTCCACTGCTAGTAAAGGATTTCCCAAGAAAACAAGTATTTTTTATTTATTCTTTAATAAAATGATACTCTTCATACATTTTTAAATTCTAAAGATAATCTACCTTTTGTTACAGTTAACGGCAATAAATTAGTCTAATGCCATCTCTAATAAAAAAATTTCCTATTACTGACACCTATCAAAAACAATCTTTGCCAGCAGTGGTGGTGGCACATGCCTTTAATTCCAGCACTCGGGAGGCAGAGGCACTGGGATTTCTGTGAGTTCAAGGCCAGCCTGGTCTACAGAGTGAATTCTAGCACAGCTAGGGCTACACAGAGAAACCGTCTCGAAAAAAAACAAACAAACAAAAAACAAAACAAAACAAAAGAATCTTCTCCTATATTTTGTATTTTCTCACCTAACAAAGGATGTTCAGATGTCAAATCCTCCCCTCGCCCCACAGTGATAGCTGCTGGAGACAAAGTGGGTGGTGGCGGTGTTCTATCCATCCTCGCACACTCATCCGAGTCCTCAGGCATTTCTTCCTCACACACATCTTCTACTTGATAAACCTGCAAAGACAAGTCATACTGACTTGAAATTTTTCGAAAACTACATTTCATGTGGTATTCTGAATTTTTAAAAAAATTAATTCTAAATGATTTAAAATTAAAAGCAAGGCAAATGACTATATTTGACAAGTTCAAAGGAAAATTGAAACCACTTGTAAAAATTCCTCTACTGCTTAGTAGTGTGACACTGAAAGCACACTTTGGGCCAGTTATGTAAGCCAGGAATCACTGGACTTTCCAAATGATAATAACCATATCTGAACATATTTTCAAGAATTAAAAAAAAAGTTTTGGCTTTATACAATCAAATAACTATTTTAAAACACCATTGCTTCTGTTACTTTCTACCTATTGTGAATTAAAACAGGTGCCAGTACTTTTCACAAACACTCTAACTAAACTTCCAAAATAATATATGCCAGGCCAACATAATGCCAAAAAATTATATGCAAGATTACTCATCGTTATTAAAGGCTAAATTAGGAAAAGTAATGTATATGAAACTGCAGAAAAATAAGCAATCATTTTCATTCCCTTTCTGTTCTATCAAGAATCAAGTAATTTCTTATAAGCTAGTACAAAATATACAGAAAACATTTTTCTTTAAAACTGAACACACACAACATGGCTCTATCTGTTAGTCCCTTTTATCTAACTGTAGTGGTTTTACTGAAAGATTGTGACATCAAAATCACAGAGGAGAAATCATGTAACTAGAGCTATATTACTCAACTAACATTTTATGAAACTTTAGGATTAACTTTCAAAGTGTTTCTAGAAATTAAGATGTGCTTTGATTGGTTGCTATTTCTGAAAGATGGCCCTCTACTAACACAAAGCTGTAAGACAGCTCAGTTTCTTTCATGTAGCAAAGTTTTCACTTACATTTACAAAGATTGAGGTTTTTTAAGATTTCTTAAACTAATTAACATTGAAATAAATCTTAACAGTTAAAAAAATCCTGAACATTCACAAAGTTAACTTTAAGTGATATTCATTATTACATTTTTAGTTAAATTGTTGGAAAATTTTGATAATCTGAGGTGTTGAGAATTTAATATGAAAATAATCAAGATTTTTTTAATCTGGCACAAAACATGTAAAGTACTATAAAGTTTCATTTATGAAGATATGCATAACAAGTAATACTGGTTTAAAAAAAACAGAAAAAAAAAAACTCTAAGACAAAATACTGAGTTCAAGGCTAGCCTGGATGCTTAACAAAAGCCCATCTAAACACCAGCAAAAAAAGATTGAACATGGTTTTTGCTTTAAAAATAAAATTTCTGAGGGTGGCATGCCTTAGTTCCAGCACTCAGGAGGCAGAGGCAGGCAAATCTCTGAGTTCAAGTCCAGTCTGGTCTACAGAATGAGTTCAGGACAGCCAGGACTACACAAAGAAACCCTGTCTCAAAAAAACAAACAAAAAATCTAAAATCCCACTAGAGTCATTTTATATTTAACTTGATATCTTGAATTATGATCCAAATCAGGTACTAAGTAGGTAACATTTTTTAAATATATTTTTTTACATCCATGAACTAGAAACCTGTTTCACCAAGAGCCCCTCATGTCACAAGTGGAAGCAAGTCATTGTTACTGTATACTACACAGCTTACGGCACTAGTCTATTCGTGGTAACAGCAATGTTTAACATAAGGATAATACTCACCATAGACTACATCACTGCCCAAAATGTCTATGAGTTAACAAAAACAACCAAAAATAAAATAAAATAAACCTGTCTGGTACCTAAAAACTAGAAGGTGCAGTGTTAGTTCAGGGGATGGGGGGTGCTGGAGAGCTGGCTGAAGGCAGTCATGCAAGAGTGGCTTCTTGACAGTTAAGTTTCATCCATGGTGCTCCTTCCCTCACAGACAGTTCTTTCCCTCCAAAGGCCATCTGCTAAACTCTAACCTCTTCCTCCTCACTGCTGCCACCTGCTGCTGCAACATTTGCTTACAGCATCTTTTAAGCAATCACCATGTACCTAATTCTGATTTTTGAAAACTATTTTTTTAAAAAGGAAAAGGCTATAATACAAACAGAATTTTTTTCAAATTACCCATCAAAGAACACTATAAAATACTTTTCTTTCTTATGATGAGGTTAAATACAGGGAGCTATTCATAATCTCCCACATAAAAGAAAACAAGTTAACAGGGAAATAAAGTAGGCATAAGAAATTTCTCACACATATCTGGCACAATCAGCACAAAAAACATCTAAATGCAACAACTAAAATACTGAGAAAGGCAGTAATTGGAGATTTTGCTCACAAGATCATTACAAAACTGCACAAGTTCTATTTAGCTCATAACTATAACTATTCTAAAAATAATGAAGACCACCAAACTTACCTCAGTAAAGTCCATATTCCCATCTGTCTCCCTTTCCTAAATAAACTGAGGAACATTTGTTTATTAGTTCTAAATCATCTATCCTCAACATATCTTATTTACACCCAATCTCAATTTAAAAAAAAAACTATTTCTTTTATAGAAATATCTTTTTTGAAAACATACTGATTTAGTTTGATAATTCACCTTTTTCTTTGAAGTTTTTACATTTTATTAGAAAGAAATAATCAAGGGTGGAAACGGTGTTTTTATGGAAAAAAATTCTGGCCACAAGAACAACAAACCAGAAACTTAGTAAATAGTTGCTGTGAAAAGAATCCAAAGAACACTGGCATCCAGACAGCAGGTCCTGTTGTCACACAGTAACAGAGGGACCTTCCAGAAATGGCCATCGCCTTGTGTTTAAAAACAGAGGGCAAAATCAGCAAAACAAATCCAATAATATTTTGACACAGTATTTAAAGTGTTTTATTTTTGGCATTTCTACCCTAATTATGTTGACCAAAAGTCCTCCTACTAAAAAATACATTTAAAAGGTATATGATATTTTATTGTTTATTCATTGAAAACCAGTCACTGAATTAAATGTTAAGAAAACGAAATTAAGTTGAATTTGATTTCTTTGGAGGTTCTGTATTTTTCCTAAACCTTTGTTTTTCATGTTTTTGTTTTGACAGTAACTAGGGACTGCACCAGGGCCTGGCATATGCTAAACAGGTGCTCTACCACTAAACTACATCCTCAGTGCAAACCCTGTTGTAAGTGCTCTAAAACACAGAGGCATAATTAGAGGACAAGCTTATCTAGCACTGGTTTCTCCTAGGTTCTGGCTTCTGGGGCAATAACAGGTAAAACTGAGCAGCTCTGTGCCTATTAAGATCACTTAAAAGGACAGAACAACAAACTACAAAATGGAGTTGTAAGAGTCAAATGTTTCTACTAATGAAGACAGCAAAACTCCTTTCCTTCTAAGATCAATGTTAATTGATATCTAAATATTTCAATTTAGAAATATTCTGTGGGGACTCCTATAGCCAAGGCTGCTCTTGAACTCACTGGACTGTCCAGGATGGCCAAACTCTTGATTCTCCTGCCCCAGCTTCCCAAGAACTGGTCTGACTTTCAGTGATTTTCAATGTTTGATACAAAACTTCCTTTTAGAAAAATTCTTTTCCTCAGTAAGAAACTGAATCTGGTAAACTTGTAAAAACCTTATTTCAATTTTTGCATAAACCATTTTATAAATTTCAGTAACTACTTCAGAGAAAATTTTGAAAAAGAAAAATATTTTCAAGATAATTTTCCTTTTTACGCTTCATGTGACCTTTTCTAGAGGCTCATTCTGATACATTCCATTGAAATCCCAATTATTCAAAATTCTTACTTCATTTCTGTTACTCTCAGTGTCAAAGCCAGAGACTCACAGTTTTGAGTCTTTTAACTGAGAAATGACTTAAGTATATATTTTCTCTTAGTAGATAGAAACTATAAAAAGTCAGTTTTTTATCAAGTTGAATTCTACCCTAGAATGTTTTTACAATTTTAATTACAAAACATAATTTCATCAAAAAAAAGTTACATCATACAATCACACCCATTCCTTCAAAGAAAAGCTGCTCAAGGCCCAAGACTTCCAAATGCATACAACTAAAAGGTTAGCTAGATAAACCATGCGCTTAAGAACATACAGAAGGGATCTATGAAGGATAATCACCTTAAGAGAAAAAACTTTGTGCAGATGACACTGGTTCAAATGCATTCCCTTGGGGAAAAAAAATCAACTCTGTAAAGATAGCAGATGGATTTGTTTAAATAGTAATAAAATTAACGAGGGACTTTAATAACCATCACAAATTTAAAGCATGCAACCATACTACAACAAATGACATTTTTTTTTCCTTTGCCCATATAATACATTGTCGGAATACTGACACAGGAAAAATGCAAGCTTAAAAAAATCATAGGCATTTAGACTTCACAGAACAGCACAGTGTGGGAGAACCAGCTTTACGTTCAGTTCAGCAAGAAAGTCAAAGAGCTGCCAAGGGCTTACCACTGGTGGATCAACGGGTGCTGCTGGTTGTACTTGGAGATTTACCGCAACAGTCTGTGGAGGAGGAAGAGTCTGAAATGGCAACTGGACCAGAGCTTCTGCAGCAGGGAGCTCTTCTTCTGACACCAACGCATTCTGCACCAAAACCTGGCCCTGGGATAGAATTTCAGGCTGCACTTGTAAAGACTGCATAGACTGCAAGGGCAGTGGTGGGATCTGAGCTGGAGGAGATGTCGACATCTGTGGAGGGGTTGCAATTGGAAGTGGAGATGACTGCAGGGTTGAATATTGCTGGTGTGATGTTGGAGACACAATCTGCTGAGCAGGGGACACCAAGGCAGACTGTTGGACTGGGCCAATGTGTACAACAGGGGATGCTGGAAGTGGAAGATGGGATGGAAGATTCAGCTGTGCTGTGGGTTGTACCTGATCAGCAGTAGCCTGCTGCAAATTTGGCCCTGTTTGAAGAGCTGAAGACACAAGAGGGTGTGGCTGGATAAGTGCTTGTGGATGGATAATTATAGTAGGAGACTGACTTGGGGAATGAGGTGGAGGAGGAGACACCACTACAGATTGCTGTGCTGACTGTGCCTGGTTGGGAGACACAGTTAAAGGAGGGGGATGGCTCTGAATTGGTGAGCAATGCTGTGATTGGGCATTACTAGGAGCCGGAGAAAGGCCATGGTTTGGGAGTGGAATACAGTGCTGGGATGGGGACAGATCTTGAGTTGGATTCTGAAGGGTGATTGGCTGAATTTGCTGTTGTTGCTGTTGTAAAATCAGCTGATGATGGGAAACCTTAGGAGGTGGTGAATGAAGAGGAATCTGTTGATGTTTGATTAGAGAATGAGGTTGAATTGGAGAATATGAAGCTGTGAGAGAAAAAAATGACAATTAGTACTGATTTCAAAATGAAATAGTTATACATAACTCTAAAGGAGGAGAGTTTTCACATTAGAGAGTCATAGTCACTAGCAGTCTATTACAAGTCTTTTAAGTATGAGTATTTAACATTCTATGACAACATATTTTCCTTGCAAGGTTAAAAACACTGGATAAAATAAGCTATGCTATGAAACACTGAACGAAAACAATTTAATCACATAAGTACAGCTTCACACATTCTACTCTTCCAGGTCACATAGAGCAGCTTCATTAGCTTAGTTCTTAGGTCAATACACTTGAGTCTATCTCTTCTCTGAAGGTGAAATATCAGTACTCAACAATACAGTACACAGGGGTAACTTCAAGATCAAGACCTATCAATGACAAAACATGTCGCAAACTAATAGCAAAATCAATTGGCTAAAAAACTTCCTAAGTGAATGTTTCAGCTTGGATGAAGTCTTTATTATTTGATCAAAATGAAATTGTTCCACATAAAACTTCAATTAAGCAAAATACATGGCTGAATCTTGTAGCAGGGCCATTCCAAATCAAAGTGAGCAGTTGTTTTCTTTCAGAGAATGAATAAGATCATGATACCTAAACAAGAGATGGTGTTTAACCCTTTCCACTCAATGGAAACCCAGAGTGAGTTGTAAGTAGTAGTATCTATCAGATCGCCTCCACAGGTACTCACAACTGGGATGAATTCAGCCAAGGATCACCCTAAGTTATGAATAGCTCCCACCATGATGCCTCTTTACAGGAGGAGAAGCTGATGAAATCTCCCCTACCTAGAACTGAGAAATGAGGCCACTGGAAGGTAAACTGAAACAACTGCTTAATGCCACACAGAACTTACACACATCTAAGATGTTATGGTAGGCACATCTTTAATCCTAACACTTGGAAGGCAAAGGCACAGTGGATCTCTGTGTTAGAGGCAAGCTTGCAATCATAGCAAGTTCCAGGCCAGCCAGGACTATAAGGGAGACCCTGTCTCAATGTACACACACACACACACACACACACACACACACACACACACACACACACACACACACACCAAGTACATATCTAAATCATATCTAAAGACAGAATTTATCTTGCAATGTAAATATAAAAATTACATAGCACTTTACATCTTTTTGTATTCAACCAGTTATGGCAACAGCCTTATACAAACTTCTAATAACTTTTTTCTTAAATATTTTTGCATTTGATTATAATTTAAATTTTAGGGGTCAAAATTTAAGATGAAAAGACCTTCCAGCAGTTAAGAGCACTGGTTGTCCTTCCAGGACCTGAATTTTGTTCTCAGCGCCCACATGGCACCTCATATCTATCTGTAACTCCAGTCACAGGGGATCCAATACCTTCTTCTGGCTTCCCCAGGCACCTGGCACACATGTGATGTACGTATATGTGCAGGCAAAAATCATACATAAAAAATGATGTTTAAAAATTATAGAGATCCTTTAAAGAAATTACATCTGCCAGGAGGTGTTGCACACCTTTAATGCCAGAACTCAGGAGACAGAGGCAGGCAGATCTCTTGAGTTCAAGACCAGCCTGGTCTACAGAATGAGTTCTAGAATATCTGGAGCTACACAGAGAAACACTGCCAAAAAAAAAAAAAAAAAAATCTAATTAGTATCTCAAAAGAGTATTTAGAAATTTCACTAGATATCTACTAATTACTTTTAGATGAAGGGCTGTGGTCAGAACACAAGCATGAGCATGAGCTCAAACACAGCACTGAAGAAAAATGAGGTCTAAAACTTAATGCAAAAATAACTTTTCACATGAGCTAGTAATTCAACTTAAGACAGTGTTCAGAAGAGAACAGTGAATAAATCTACAAATGTGCAGATAGCTATATTATATAAATAAATCCTGTGGTCCTATAAAGTGCTTTCAGTTCTCTGATTAGCACTTGGATAACAGCTGTGGAGTAAGTGGCTGTTATTCTTTCAGATAAGGAAACAGAACTTTTAGTCTCCATTTTAAAAAAGAATGTTATAATTTAATTTTATCATCTTTTTCAAATACTTTTTACTTTTAATTATGTGTCTATGTGGTGTATGCATGAGTGTGAGTCTCTGAAACCTGAAGAGTCCCTTGAGCTGAGAGTTACAGGTGGTTGTGAACCATCCAACAAGAGTCCTGGGAACAGATCTCCAGTCCTTGCAGGAATAACCACTCTTAACTTCTTTCCAGCCCCACATGTCCTAACACAGGTGATGTACCCACTAGAATAACTTTGTGCTCTTATAGGTAAATAATCTAACGTTTCAGTAGAGTAGCAATCTATTCTTCATCTAAATCAAATTTTTCTCAGATCAGAAGTCAAAGAATGTAATAACAAGTCCTAGAATGCAGGATGAGGACTATGAGCAAGGAAAGCTGAAGATGTCTACAAAATTATGTCCAACTGGTTAAATTCCTTGACTTTAATGAACACTATTTTACTGTCAGAGTGGACTAATAATCAAAAGGTCAATGACTGGCATAATTTCTCTTATTATTTACAATAGCATATCATTTCATTCAATCATTACTGCAACCCCATGAAGTAGACATGGTACAAAACTAATGCAATATATGACAGATTAACTGGAATCACCTACCAAAGAGCAGCACTAAGTAAGAGAGTTCAAGGCTCTCTTACAAACTATTTGTGCCCCTTTCCCAAAAATCACCATGTTGAAACCATAACCCCTAAAATGGCTATATGTAGAGATGGAAATTAAGGTCATGTGGGATTCTAGGAGTGAGCCCCTGGAATGGCAGAGATTTGTATACGAATAAAAAGAGACAGCAGGGCTGGTGAGATGGCTCAACAGGTAAAGGCACTTGCCAACAAGCCTGATGACCTGAGTTTGATTCCTGGAACCCACGTGGTAGAAGGAAAGAACCAACTCCTACAAGTTGTCCTCTGACCTCAACATGGACTCTGTGAAATGCTCATGCCCCCTGCCCTACCCCTAACACACGAAACTAAGTCTTCCCCAAAACCATGTTCTTAAAGAAATTATTAGAGAGCTCTCCTGGCTCACAGGATAAGTCCATCTGAGAACACAGAGAAAGTGGCAAATGATGAGGCAGAAAGACAGTCCTCATCAGAAACTAGGAACACCAGACTTTGACCTGAGACTTCCAAGGTATGTATGACATTTCTTGGTGACAGCTAGAAAAAATCAGTAGAAGATTTTTTCATTACATGTTGAATTAATTTCTAGAGAAGAAAAAAGGAAAAAAGAAAAGGCCCTCTAAAAAACTGCTTTAAAAACACATTCCATGATTTCTAGAAATGTGGTTAAAGGTAAACGTTCACCTTTATATATTAAAAACAGAATTATCAGTCATGCATGATAGGCAGCTGAGGCAGGAGAATTGTCATGAGTTCAAGGGCAGCCTAGGCTACTGTCTTTTTTATATTTATATAAAAAAATAAATATAATTGTTAACAAATGAAAGCTTTTACCCTCAAGGAGAAATAGTAAAGAAAATCAGGTTATATTTAGACCCTAAAATTGCATGCAAGAAGTCGGGCATTTGTGGCACATGCCTTTAATCCCAGCACTTGGGAGGCAGAGGCAGGCAGATCTCTGTGAGTTCAAGACCAGCCTGGTCTATAAGAGCTAGTTTAAGGACAGGCTCCAAAGCTACACAGGGAAACCCTGTCTTGAAAACCCAAAGAGAGAGAGAGAGAGAGAGAGAGAGAAATTACATGCAAGAAAACAGTAACCATGTCCACTATAGTACTATTAGGTCTGTTTTTTTTCCTCTATTTCAAATGACTGTTGGCATAGTTCTAGCTAAAAAAAAAAAAAAAGGTAAGATGACAGGTCTCACTAGCTACTATGCCCTGACCAGCCAACTCAGGCATAGTAGGTACTGCTGTTCCACACTGACTCTAAGAACCCTGGCTAGATGCTACTGTGAGGCTGAGAATACTCTGTCAATGCTGTGTACAAAAACACACTTATCTGGACATATAGACTAGGACTTAGATATCTATAATAAAAAAAAATCTAACTATAGCATGAAAGGAGTTATTAGCAAAGTTTATAGCACTTCTCTAAGATTCATTCATAACAATCCTAAGCACCATGGTAACTAAATAATGTTAATGGAAAAGATTGATAATTTCCAAAGTCTAAGTGTGGAAAACTAGAAGACTGGTCCAAATATATACCAGCCTACCTATTACAGCCAAATGAACATAAGGCACAATTTAGTGCTGTTAAGATGAAAAGGTGAATCTGAAAAAAGATTAAAAGATATAATAAAGTAGAATGCTGAAAAACTGCCTATCACAGGCAGAAATGCTGAGGTCTCTACAGGAGCACCTGCAAGGTGCTTGCTGTCTAGTAAAGAAGCTTGAGTTCAGGAAGCATAGAACCTGTGATAGAAGTTCTGAGGAAAGAGATATTTCAACTTAGAGGAATCAGGCAATGCCAAGATTTTGAGGTTTCGTGAAGCAAATAAGATTGACAACTCTAACACAGAAGTTGTTAAAGGGCTGTGACCATGTTAGAGCACTTGTGTAGCCTGTGTGTGAGGTTCTAGATTCAATCCTGAGTACCAAATGGACAGAGAAATCAGTCTAGGGGGAAAAGTAAATTTCAATAGTATAGAACAAGAGACAGGAAGCTCACTCCGGAAGGCACCAACATTTTCAGTTTAGGAACCATGAAGCAGGGTTACCTGAAGAAATGAGATCCTCATGGATTAATACGAATAGAAAGAACTTGACAACTTTTGCCTAGATGAAAGCCCACACTGGTAGTGGTGGATGTGGGGTTAGGAAAATAATTTCCTTATTTGCCCAATCTTTTTGAAAAAGTAACAAATTCTTAGCACTAATGACTTAAACAAAATGCACTTACTTTTTTACTAAAAGCATAAAAATATGTTCCACTAAAGCATACTATATAAACTACACAATCGTTTTTTAAAAGCTAAAAGATTTTATTAGTATAAAGAGACCAGCACATCGTAAAGATGTTAAGTGCCAAGTAACAACAGAGAAAGGCCATCTATTTTGCTGCTATAATTTGTTTCAACTACTAGATTTTCTGAAATTTTTTCAAGCTACTTAGTGAGGTCTTCTTTAGCTGACAAGAATTCTCATTTTAAAATGTTTTAAAATTGTCATTCTTATTCAAGTAGCATATACCCTTTGTTTTGCTGTCTGCTAAGAAAACAAATAAGGCAACTATTTTCTATGAACATTTATCCCACCTGGTGCTATTAACTGGTGAATGCTTGATGTCCGAGTGACTGCTGTGCTTCGAGATTCCAAACTTGGGCTTCCTCCCTTCTTGCTCTCTGGAGAAGGGTCTCGTTGGCTGATTTTAGAACTGGTCACTGTTGTTTTATTATGGCAAATTGTCAGTGACTGAGTTTGACCAGTGCTTTTTGGTGGGCCATTCTGTGAGCTAGATAATACACCCAACTTCTGGCTGCGTAATGTTAAATTCTGAACCTAAGAACCACATAACAAAAAGTAAAGATGAAAACAGATAGCTTTAGCTGATACAACAATCATTACAACAATGACAGCAGTTAATATTGTGCCTCCTACACAAAGAGGTCCATGCTCCTGAGACAACTGATTAACCCTTAAGGAAAGGCCACTCTACATAAGCACATCTTAAATACTATGTGGCAAGTTGGAAAGGACATAAAGGGTGGGTATGGGACAGCTGTGAGTGAAGAAGAGTGGAAGGATGGGAAGAACATGAGGAATTAAATGAAAACCAAACGAATACTAAGGGGTGAGGGTTGACGGCAATGAACTATAAATATGAGGAAATGGCTCTGCCACACACTGCATTAAAAGTGACCAACTCTAAATGCGTTAGAGGATTACTATTAAAGACGATTGATTCATCATCTAGTCATCTACTCCAGTGTGATATTTATGAGAAGCATTTTCAGAAAGCTTCTTAAATTAAAATTGTGTACTGACCACTCACTCACTGCCTTTGAAAACTGGCTTTTTTGAGCTGAAACATTATGCCTAGCTCTGGAATGGGTCTGTCTATGTGGTGCTTTGCCTAAACTGGAGACATTCTAAACACTGTAAACTGACAGAATTATCTGACTTCATCTCACTTGAGCTTTTACCTTTCCAAAGAGCAAAGCAGAAAATGCCCCACCAAAAGCTGCGTAGCTTCTTGCCTATCTGGAGCATGCACCAAATACATTTAGTGCTAGCAATGGTCCTGGGAGGGTCAAAGGAGGCCCCACCTTAACAAAGCTAATGACATGCTGCTGAGGTCCAGCTTCTTCAGTTTCAGTGTGCTGACTCTACACAACTTAGCTGATGCTCAAGGCTATATTCCCGGTCCAAATGCCAAAACAGTGTTAACAGAACGTAAATAAATGGTTGTGTCAGGCAAGTTTCAATTAATTCTATAGCTACTGTTAATGTGTGGAAATGAAGTACCTCCCCATTTCACCCCCCAAAAAGAATATGGCTTGGTCCCAGCACAAGCAGTGCTCAGAAGTAGATGAGGACTCTGAGTTCATCAATGGTTTAATTAGCAAATGAACTTAAAATCTGAACAGACTACTAGGAGACAGTGGATCTGTAGAAGAGGGGAGTGGCTGGAGAAAGTTGGTCACTAAGGGCATATCTTTGAAGCAGATTCGGGGCCCTGATCCCTTCCTCTGTCTGCCAAGAAGTAAGCAAGTTAGATCTATCATAGTCCCTGCCATGACAATCCGCCTCTATGCCCCAGGAAAACAACAGCACTGACCCACCCAACATGAACCAAAGCCACAGGCCAAAATAAATTTCCCTCCTTTTAAATTGTTTCTCCTAGGTTATTTGTTAGCAACAGAAATTGACTAAAGCATCCCTTGAAAAAAATCTTCTAAGGGAGACCATATGGGCGTCTTCTCTGATTTTCCTTGAATATTTCCTATTGTGTCAAAATATATTAAATACCATTAGTATTAAAGTTTCATATAAAAAGTAAAATTACTGTATTCCTTGGGTTGCCACTCAAAGCCCACAGTGTAGACCCAACCCACATTGAACCCACTTTCTCTTCTCCAGTCTACAATTCTCATATACCTGCCAAACTGCTCTCACTGTTCCATAACACCATGTACATCTTTCATTTGGTGCCCTTTGTTCTGTCTCCACTTGTCTAAGTATCATTCTTTCTCAAGCCATTATTCTAAGTCCAATAACCCCTTCCCTCTCTCAGAAGAGCTTCCAAGAGTCCTTTGTGAGGAATTTCCTCCTTCTGCTCCAGGATGCTTCCTTGGAATGTGAGATTGGCCTACAGAACAATGTCTAGCTTGTCTGTGCATTATTAACATTCACATCTGTGAAATGGTGAGACTCTGGCTAATAGGCTAGGGGTTTCGGCATTGACTTTTGCACCCCTAGCAATTCAGAACTATAAACACTGGAAACTTCCTAAGTCGGGAATAGTCTCTTATATCTGATTTTGAAATCACATCACATAGCTATTTGAAAGGTTATTTGATTCTACTTATGGCTCTTATGCTAACACTAAAATCTGTTCATATTTTCTAACAAACTTCACCACTTTAATGGGGGCACATTAAAATATCTCAGGAAGGACAGGGATGTAGTTAGGTGGGAGGGCACTTGCTTAGTATGTACAAGGCCCTGGGTACCATATCTAGTATGACAAGAGAGAAAAAAAAAAAACTATTTTCAGGTATAGAGGCACAGGCCTACTATAACAGCACAAGGAGGCAGAAGCTGGAGAATCGCAAACAAGTTCAAATCCAGTCTAAGATACATAGTTAATTCTAGCACAGTCTTGGCCACACAGCATGATCTGAGTCTAAAAGTTAATAAGTAAATTGACAATAAACTCTCCCAGGAAGAACTACATAAGAGAGAATATAACATTTTCCACAAATGATCCATGTGGTAGACCATATAATAATGACAACCAAGAATAAACAACCTGAAAAACTTGAATGAATCCTTCAAGATGAAAAACGTCTGAACAGTAACTGAAGATTTGACACAATGATCCCTAATACCTGCACCACACCCATTCCTATAATGTGCCTGCTATTTTCTGGAACCCTGAAAGACAATGCACTTGCCACCAAAGTTAAGTATGATGTTGTGTTCTACACAAGCTTGTAGACTTTAGCTACTCTGCTGCCATCTTTGCTCAAATACCAACTTGAAGTAAATAAATTACAAGGTAGAAACTATAGCACCAAAGGTACTACTTACTACTGGAAAGACCACATTCCCAGGGTAGTTTCATTTTGGAAGAAAACCCATCCTAAGATGAGGAATAATGGGTATCCTAGCTTTAATTTTCATTTCAAAGCCTATGATTTTATAAAACCTTTGACATCATGCATAAGGTATTTTTGCTAATTTCACTCTAGCATTTTGTGATATATAATGAATATTTCACTACCAAAATATTCTCAGAATCATTTAACTGGACTCAAGCATTGCAGACACTAGCACAGCATCCTCTCTTTGCAGAAGTGGGGAGGGGTGTCAGTGCTGTGCTGGCCACAGGAGAGCTTTAGTTCCCAGCTTTTTAATGTAAAAAGCTGGTTTCTCTTCAAACCAGAATTTCCCAGAGTGCCCTTTGATAAATAGGGCTTCTTACTCTAGTACAAACATCCTTCTTTTGCCAGTCATGGTGACACACACCTTTAATCCCATCACTCTGGAGGTAGAAGTAGATGGATTTCTGTGAATTTGAGGCCAGCCTAATCTATATAAAGTTCTCCAGGTCAGCCAGAAGTACACAATGAGACTGTGTCTTAAAAAAATAGTTTTTACTCAGTAAAAATTAGAACATTAAACTACAGATCCAATATTCTCAATTAAAAAAAATATAATTTTTAAACTACAGACCTAATTTTTTTAAAAAAGTAGAAAAGTAAAAAAGAAAAGAATAAAGGACAGTGGTGGCACACTCCTTTAGAACCAGCACTTGGGAGGCAGAGGCAGGCATATGTCTGAGTTCCAGGACAGCCAGAACTATACAGAAAAACCCTGTCTTGAAAAACAAAACAAAACCAAACAAAACAAAAATTTCAAAACCAATAGTCCTGGACCCAAAGTTGTGTCTTTGTTGGTCAGCATGGCCTACCACTGCCAGACTTATTCAAAAGCAGTGTTCACAGAAAGATCCCTCCAGTCCCTGGAAAGCCTTAACCAAGTCAGACCGGCACAGCCACAGAGCAGACAGGTCACATCCAATGGCACCAGAAGACCGCTTTCACAAACTACATGAACTACATTAAAGACTTATAAGAATGCTTTCACCATGAGAAACAGTAAGCAAATTGAGCTCCAGATCGTATTAAAGAGAAGCATTATCTCCTAAACAGCTGGTTTATCATGGAAACTATCAAACATTTAAATGGTTATTTATTATCTCTTCATTTCTAGTTTCTCAAAAGCTAACAACCAAATGTATGATTTGTCTTCACACAATGTCAAAGACAGCAAGCAGGAGATATACCTCAGTATGTGGCAGCACTGTACTAAGTAACTTCTGATTGCCTCATTTGCCTCTTGTAAAAACTGAGGTATCATTTCCAAGATAATAATCAAAATTTAGCAGGGATAACCTTGAATTAGCATTTAGTGACCCCTGGTAGTTCCTGGTAAGGAACTACAAAGGGTCAGGGAGCAAGTTAGGAAAACTCTGAGTTTACCTGACCAAAATCTTTATAACTAATACATGAAAATTAGTCTTTATTATTAAATATACCAATACACAGAGGTTCCATGAAAAAGATCAAAGAATATGAATTATTACTATCTCATTTCTCTTTTCTTTCCTTTTTCCCTTCCTTCCTTTCTTTCTTTTGGATTTTCGAGACAAAGTTTCTCTGTATAGCCCTGGCTGTCCAGGAACTCACATTGTAGACCAGGCTGCCTTCAAATTCACAGAGATCCACCTGCCTCTGCCTCTCAAGCACTGGGATAAAGGCATGCAGGACCACAACCAGCCACTATCTCATTTCTTAGATTTACCAGAAAGCTGAAATATGAAACAAAAAATGAAATGCACCAGGCATGGTGACTCATACCTGTAGTCTCAGCACTGAAGAAGCTGAGACAAGAGTACTGTCTCAAGCTCAAGCCCTGGGGCAATCATCAAGTACCAGGCCATCCAAGGCTACTAATAAAACACTGTCTCAAAAAAGATTAAAGCCTGGTACATGCCTTTAATCCCAATACTCAAGAGGCAGAAGCAGGTGGATCTCTGTGAGTTCAAGGCCAGCCTGGTTTACAGATCGAGTTCCAGGTCAGGCTCCAAAGCTATAGAGAACCCTGTCTCAATCAATCAATCAATCAATCAAAATTAATCAATCAATAAAAGTGAACAAGAGATATTTAAGACAAAGATGACCCAATGTATGAATGTCTGTCATGAAGTCTAAAACATTTACTATAAAAAACAACAAAATAGCACCATAAAAAGTAATAGTCTACTCAATTATTTTAACTTAAAAGTTTACTCAATCTAAATGATTTTTATGAAATTTACTAAGGTATCATTTACAATAAGATACAACTGTCCCATAAGTTTTGACAGTGGGTATATACTATATAACCACCATCCCAACCAATACACTAAACATCCCTCCTAGTCAATTTTTCCTACCTCTGTTAACTTAATTTTTTCACTATGGAGAGTTTTCCCTCTCCTGAAATTTAAAAACTACAGAATCACAGAGGCTGTACTCATTGTCTAGCTTCATTTGCTAGCCATAATGTTTATGAGATGTATGGATGATTTGCTCTTTTCATTTTTGAGTACTAACTATTCCACTGTATGAATATGACACCATCTGTTTATACAGTCAGCATTTAAAGAATACATAGCTATTATAAACTATTGTATAGTGTCAGTCAGTGTCATTTAGTTAGCCCCCCAAATGATTGTTTGATGATGCTCTTTATGGTTCTGACTTGCACATTTGTAATGATCTATGATGTTGAACATCTTATCATGTGCTCATTGGACTTCTGTACATTGTCTCTTTGTTTGTTTGTTTGTTCAGACAGAGTCTCACTATATACTTCTGGCTGTATTGAAACTCACTATGTAGACCAAGTCGGCCACAAGCTCACAGAGAGCTATATTTGCCTCTGACTCCTAAGTGCTGGAATTAAAGGCTTACATCACCACATCTGCCCTATATGGTGAGTGTCTTTTGTCAACTATCTCTTCAAATCTTTTTTCCATTTGTAATTGACCTTATGATTCAATTATTAACCTACAGGAATGTTTTCTATACTCTAGATACAGTCTTTGGTCAGATACATATATTGAGAATAGTTATCCTCAGCCTGCAGCCTAGATACTCATTTTTTAATGATTCTTTAAAGAATAATTTTTAGTTTCATTAAGTCCAATTTATCACTATTATTGTTTCTAGTCAATCTTATTTGTGCCCAAAGAAGCCTTGCCCACCCTAGACTTGCAAAGAATCTGTCCTGGAAGGCTAATTTTTTTATTTTTAACTTTAGGCCTACATTCTACTTTTATTTTATTTTTGTGAGTAAAAGGGAAAGTAAGGTTCATTTTTCCCAAAGTACCAAATAAAGTAATACTCTACTTAAGTTTTTAACTTCAAATTGCCTGATTTAATTCATTTTTAAACTTAAAATTACCATCCACTTTGACTTATCTGTTATGTAACTGCTTCCAAAGGCAATCTACAAAAAGAATATACCGCACATAAAAAAGAAATCTGGCACACAATAGAACTAACACTACGGTGTCGTTATTAGAACTTTCATTAACTTGATGGATGTACGTCTACTAATCTGAATCTGTTTAATTATTTCTTGTCTCTACAAGCAAGCATGCTCTTGAAGTTCCCAGGGTTCTGTGAATGTCACCTGAAAGGCATGGCAATGCACTCTGAGCAGAGGAGCTGAAACACGAATGCAGTGACCGTCTTTCCACTGAGACCCAGACCTCCAGTACCACACTGTGATAGACAATCTCACCTGAGCAGCTGCAGACTGACAGGAAGGTGACGATGACGACGAGACAACAGGAATGTCAGACTGCACAGCAGCCACAGTGGTAGCGGGTGTGAAAATCAGCTGTACAGACAGAAAACCAAAAATAATACCCTAAGACTAAAGAACATGTCCCACACACAGTGTGTAGCAAGCAGGCAAGAGACTGAACTTTGTGACAGAGAGACAATGCCAATTAGGACTACCTCCTAAGCAAAAGGCTTCACACGACAACAAAGTTATGATCACAGAGCTAAAAAAGTCATCAACAGCTTTGAAATAGCTCACAATTCTAAGAGTAGGGAAAACTATTCAAAGAAAAGAATGTGCTTTGGTGAGATGAGACCCTCAAACCCAATTTTGTCCCAAGTAAAAGCTACTATCTCAGGATTCCTAAGATGGAAAGTGAAAATAAAACTGTTAGGATATAGATTAATGTTTGTTAAGAAACAGGAAAAGAAACACCAAAACGTCTCTTCAGTCCACACAGTAACAGTGCCACATACTACACTATGATCTTTCTCACCTACAAGGGACCAGTTGTAGGACAAAGTAAGGTTGCTCTTGATGTTAACCCTGTTTGTAAAGGGCTATTTGTTCTAAATGTAAATGCTAGAATGTTAAAACAGAGCAACCAAAGGCCTTCACACCAAAACAACAAAAGAAATAAACAACCTGTACATCACCATCTTGTTTCAAACTTTTAACATTAAACAAGTACCATTAATTTCTAAGACAATACAGTCTATTCAGTCTAACTGGATTTAGTAAATAATGATAGGTTTTAGAGTGTGTAGCTACACTATTTTAAAGTCATTTCAGGAGGTACTTTCTACTTCCTGCTATTTAAACTAAAATGATCAATTAGGGAACTTTCTCATCTTAAACCTTTACAAGCAGGTATTAAATATACAATACTGGGTTTCACTGTGATTTTCATGCATGCGCATACATAGTGATCATATTCACTATCCCCTGCTCCTATTTACCACCCCATACACACCTTTCCTGAACCCCTTCTTTTACATTTTAATTCTTTACTCATTTACTGAATCTAAGTAAATTCACCAACAAATTTTCTTACTTTTGGTGCATGCGGCCTAAAAGCTCTCCACCCAAAAAGGAAAATATTACTGTTTGAGCAGTATGAATTGCCCATTTTAAAGGTCAAAATCATCAAAAACAAAACAGAACAAAAAATATTTCAAATAGTTCAAATCATATTATTAAAAACAATTTCAAGGGAGAAAAGTAATCCAAAAGAAAAAGGTAACATCTACTCTACAATTTGCAAATAAAAGTTGTGTCACATCATCACTTCCTGCCAGCAATACGACTCAAAAATTTCCAATTTTAAATGAAGTAGGGATCAGATACATATTCAGTTCATTGGTCAAAAATATGAATATTAAGGAGGCTGAGAGTATTGCTAGGACGCTTGTCTACTATTCATGAAGCCCCCGTTTCAATCCCTGGTACTGCAAAATTAACTAATGAAATACATATATATACTTATATATACCAAAACATTTGCCTAACTGTACAAAATTATATCAGCCAATGTCTACATGGCTTAAAAAAGTTCATCAATTAATCAGGAAAACAGTAGGTACCTAATTATAGAATTACCAATTACCATTACTATAATAATAAAGAAAAAAACCTGAAGTACACCTAAGAATGCAACAGAATTTGAGACAGTAATAACCAAAGCTATGAATTATCTGAAAAACTATCAGAACTCCAATCCAGATTTCAGAAGGTCCTTGGACATAAATCATCAATATCAACAGAATAAATGATTTATATATCACTGTAAGTACTAAAACTGTAAAATGCCATCAGTTACAAAAAGCTCTTCAGTTGCTAGATGGTGGCACACGCCTTTAATACTAGCACTCGGGAGGCAGAGGCAGGTGGATCTCTGTGAGTTTGAGACCAGCCTTGTCTACAAGAGCTAGTTCCAGGACAGCCTCCAAAGCCACAGAGAAACCCTGTCTCGAAAAGCAAAACAAACAAACAAAAAAACTTGAATTGTAGGGTTGTCAAAACATGAAAAAAAGTTTTAAAATCAGTAACAGTATTAAAAAAATATTGTTACCAAGAAGGCCTCTGAATTCAAGGTGGAATTTATGCATATTTGTAAGTGTTCAAAGGCTGAGCACACACAAGCACATGCTCTCACTTGTTAAATACTGTTTAAGTATTAAAAATGCCTATTGCATCAAACCCAGAAACATTTGCACTCTCCAGTCCTTAGACACTGAAAAGCTGGTATCTTGTATCTTACCATCTGAGCTCGGAGATACATTTGAGCTTGGCTGGCTGTTAAGGTAGGGGAGGTACTGCCTAGTAACATCGTCTGTTGGGTAATACTGCCACTAGTAGAACTGGAAGCCTGGGAACAATTCATCAACTGAGCAGGTGTAGGAGAAGTGGAGAGGTTGATCTAAGGAAGGAAATATAACAGGTTATCTTCCGTATCTTGCCTCCATGTTCTCATCTTCACCCAGCTAAAGCAAGGCCATCAATGGTAGACACCTCAAGGACAGGCTTTGAACTTTGATAGAACCCTTCACTTTGGGCAACTACTTGCATATAAGCACAGACTGAATACAAGCACAGGGCATAGACTGCTTACTTACTGGAACAACTTTGAAACATATCCACATTTCATAAGACTTCTAGCATCTTAAAAATGACCTCCTTACTTGATGGGTGGTAGTGGCACACACCTTTAATCCCAATACTCGGGAGGTAGAGGCAGGCAGATTTCTGAAAGTTTGAGGCCAGCCTGGTCCACATAGCGAGTTCCAGGACAGGCCCCAAAGCCACACAGAGAAACCCTGTCTCAAAAAACAAACAAACAAACAAACAAAAATGTCATTACAACTACCTTCCCAAAATTAGGGCTAATATCCAATTACTTTAATATTCCACAGAGTAACTTTAAAATTCTAATTTTGCTACATTGCTTTGTCACACTCTCACATTTTGAGGAGCTTCTGAAGTGAACAAAATTTAAAACACAAATAATCCATCCATATATTAAAAACATGCAGGTAACACATAATCACTTTAACTTAAAAGCTCTAAAATCAGAAGAAAATACAATTGCTATGTGCAAAACAGAAACATCATGAATATTGGCTACAAAATTAATGAACAAACATTTTAAAAGTTTCAAGTCAAGCTTAAGAATTAATTAGAAAGCAGATGTAAGCCAGGCGGTGGTAGTGTACGCCTTTAATCCCAGTACTCAGGAGGCAGAGGCAGGGGGATCTCTGTGAGTTCCAGACCACCCTGGTCTACAAGAGCTAGTTCCAGGACAGCCTCCAAAGCCACAGAGAAACCCTCTAGAACCCCACCCCACCCCCAAAAAAGTAAGAAAGCAGGTGTAGTGAGTCATATAATCCAGCACTCAAGAGGCTGAGGAAGGAGACTTGTGGGTTACAGGCCAGCCCTGGGGTACATGAGATTTGGTCTAAACAAAAAAAGTAAAAGGGGGGAATGAGTATGTGGCTGAATGGGTGGCACAAGCTTGTCATCCCAGCACTAGAAAGGCTGAGGCAGGAGGACTGTTAGTTTGTGGTTTGTCTGAGCTAGGCTACACTTCAGCTTCCTGGCCAGCCTGAGCTACATAATAAAATACTAGCTCAAAAACAAAAGTGTGTAGTCTAACAGATCCCTGAAAAACACATTAGAAACTGTCAACTTGCTTGGATCTGTGAAGGGGAAATGGAAAGAGTTAGGTGGAGAAACAGGGAAGAGAGTGATACACTACATCCTTGCTTGTCTTTCCAAGTCATATCATGTTCATGTATCATTCATTCTTAAATGATTTCAGAGAATAACATAACTCAACCTCACTTTAAATCTTTTTGTGGAACAAAGTAGAAAACAAAATTAAGAAATAGCTTATTAGACTTCTGATTCAGGAAGTGAATACAATACATATCCAAGTGCTCAAAGACTTTCTGAAATGCTCAAATAACATGAAAACAAGAATGGAGCTAAAGTGCACAAGGGAGCAGGGAAGGAAAATGCCCAGGTGTCAGTAAGAAGGGCCAACCTAGACACATAAGCAACAGCTGACACCAAGGCACCTCCAGGCTTATTAAGTCTACAAAGATGAAATGTCCATGCTGGCCTATTATACTGTAAAGCTGGAAGTAAAATCCCTATTTTGAGACAAGATCCTGAGAAAGGCTGATCAATATGTGAAAAGCTCTAATCATATATTCTGACAAGCAGCTGGGAAGCTGTTATACCTGCCCTGACATACTGGAAGGGTGGAGGGAGACACCTATGAGAATCAAAAATTTCAGACATTTATCATGTATGGGTATAAAACCCAAATTCACAGTCCCTGCATAGCCTTCTAATACAATCCACACATTAAATTTGATGGAACAAAATGGCAAAGCAGGGCTCTGTAGCAATCTTCCACCAGAGGAAACATCAACTTGAAATATCTGCACATGGATCTCCCTTCATGAGACCCAGGTGAGACACATTGGAGATAGTCACAACATAATAAGAAAAGATGTTGGAGAAACCATTCACATTACCTGTGTTACCCCTCCCCCAGACTCAAGCAGACTCTCTCAACCCCTAGTTCTAGGCTGGTACCCACTCACTAAATGAACAACCTACCCTTGCCCTAGATAGGACTCATAAACTCTGTGATATGGTCAGGCATTTAGTTGACTGCATCAGCCACAACAATCAGAAGGTTCCAGTCCAAGGCTAAGCCATTCCTGGAGGCCACAGGCTATGAACCCAGGCTGCATTCTTCTTCTTCTTCTTCTTCTTCTTCTTCTTCTTCTTCTTCTTCTTCTTCTTCTTCTTCTTCTTCTTCTTCTTCTTCCTCTTCTTCCTCCTCTTCCTCCTCCTTCTCCTCCTCCTCCTTTCTCCTCCTCCTCCTTCTTCCTCTTTCTCCTCCTCTTCTTCTTCAATGTATTATTCAGTTCCAAGATTTGCATTGGATTTTTTTATTTAAATTTTAATCTGTTAACTTTCACTGATGAAATCTCTGAATTGGTTTTCTGTATTTAAAGTTTTAATTTTCCTCAAAGCAGTTAAGTGAATTCTTTGTTAGGTGGATCAGATAATCTATTTTGCTAGGATCAGTAGTAGGTGACATTTGTCCTTTTAGCATGCCATGGCTCCCTGACCTTTTCCCTGCCTACCCCCAGGTCTGATCCTTGCTACTGTCCCTCTGTTTCTATTTGTAGATGAAGAAAGTATTTGTTTTCAGTCCTTGCCATATGGCATGCTAGGCAAGTACTCCATGATCAAGTTGCACTTTCAGGCTTAATAGCTAAAATTCTGAAAACAAACATCCTTGTTTTCAAATTTCCTTAAAAAAAAAATACTTATACAACACCCTTGTTAAAATAATTGCAAAGGGTTTGAAACAGAAATTTTCAGGCATACTAAATATTCAAGTTTATTTCCAATGTGTTCACTACAAGTAAGGCATCATAAGATATCCACCAAACAGAATGCTCACCATAATGGCCTTTGACTATTTATTTGAATATATCTTTGGTGCCCAATACTATGCCTGACAGAACACAGGAGAGATGATTCAGTCAGTAAAGTGCTTGTCACACATGAATGAGGACCTGAGTTTGGCCCCAGTACCAACATAAAAGGTGGGGCAAGATGGTACAAATCTATAATCTCAGCACTAGGAAAGCAGAGATAGGAGGATCCCTGGGACTTGCTGGATGGCCACTCTAAGGTAGGCAAGGAGCTCCAGATTCAATTAGCAACCCTGTATCAAAAACTAAAAAGGAATATGATCACAACAGACCCCCTATGGACTTCAGTCTTCCACATGCAAAGTACAAATGCACACACACCCAAAGGTACTAGAACAGATTTTTCTCTTGAGTGTAGAAGACTAACACAGAACCCAACAAAACAGGTCAGTTTCAGGTATCCATTATTTTGTTGGGCTCTGAAAACTTTTTGTAAAAACTAACATCCCATATAAAACTACTTTATATATGACAATCCCTTCAAATTCTTTCCTATTCACCACCATGCCAATTATCACTTGATTATATACTTAAAATAATTTCTATGTCTAGGTATAATTCTTCAAATGAATATTGCTGTCCATGAAGGAAGGGTCTATAACTCGTGTGCACACTCAAGACAACTAGCACAATGCTGAACAATAGATAATTGGCTGCCTTTCCATAACCACCATCCCAAAATCTCATTATTATTTGGTCAGGATCAGACCCTCTTCTATCACCTAATTCCAGAAAATGGAACTGTATCCTATAAGGATTGTGTTTATAGATGACCTACTTGCAACAATAAAAAGCCTATATTAAAATTATCTATATTCTAGTTTATGCTCATTATCCCTACCATTCACCCTTCAATGTAATAGATACACATATTTTTATCATACATGTAAAATGTAGTCATTTGAATGAAAATGGCCCCATAGGCTCACAAGGACTGGCACTATTGGGAGGAGTGGCCTTGTTGGAGGAAGTGTGTCACTGGAGGTGGGGTTTGAGGTCTCAGAAGCTCAAGCCAGGCCTAGTGTGTTTCATTCTCTTCTGCTGCCTGCTGATCCAGATGTAGAACTCTCAGCTACTTCTCCAGCACAATGTCTGCCTACAGGCTGTGAGACTTCCCACCATGACAATAATGGACTAAATCTCTAAAGTGTAAGCCAGCCCCAATTAAATGTTTTCCTTTATAAGAGTTGTCATGGTCATGGTGTCTCTTCACAACAATAGAACACTAATTAAAACAAACTACTTAAGAAACCCTGAAAAAGTCATAAATTAACATCCAAATCACCAGTACTCTATTTAATAAAATCCTCTCTTCAAAAACAGTATTATTGAAAATTCAAAAACTTATCTGTCTGGCTAACTTTAACATAAGATCCAAAGCCTGGTCTGTCTTAGTCTGCCATAAGAGAATACCACAACCCAACAACTTGAGCAACAGGGACTATGCTAAGTGGTAGAGCTGCATAAGGATGCAGGAAAGCCTATATTCAATTCCCAGCACCACAAACTTTAAAAAAAGAAATTTATTTTTTACAATTGTGGGGAGTGTGGGAGTTCAAACCCAAGTGCTGGTCCATTAAGTTTCCAGTGTGGGCTCTCTTCTTAGCTAGCAGCCTGCTACCTTCTACATCCTCCCATGCTAGAGAGATCACTGGAAACTTCCTCTTTGATGAGAGCTCCTCTAATATGAGAGCTCTACCCTTAAGACCTCATTTAACTTTAAATCAGTTCACTACAGAGTCTATTTCTAGTATACAAACATGGGTTAGGTTTTCAACATATGAATTTTGGGAAGACACAATTCAGTCCATATCATCATTTACTGAACCTTCTCTCTTTAATCTAAATTTAGAGATATGTGAATGAAGAAAAACTAGAGAATCTAAATAGACAGTATCACAAAAGCTTGGAGTGCTAGGAAATTAAATAGCTTACTTGCCCTAAGTTACATCACTAGCCAGTTACAGAATTTAACATGAAAAATCATGTCCATTCAATCAAGCTTTCATAACACATCATAATAACAGTGATGTCACTGGGTATGATGTTAGAACTTGAATTTCTCATAACTTGAATTTTCTTTTAAAAAGATTTATTTTTACTTGTGTACATATGTGAGGGAGTTGGTGGGGATGGCAGGTGAATGAAGTGGCTACAGAGGCCAAAAGAAGACATCAGATCCCTATGCCCAGAAGGAGCCAGCCCATACAAAAGGAACTCAGTGGTATTTTTGTGGACTTTTTATTTCATTTTGTTTTGTTTTGCTTTGCTTTGAGGTTTGTTTGTTTGTTTTTTGAATTTTTGGTCTTTTTCTTATTTGATTAAATGAAAATGGGGGTTTGTTCACATTTCTTGTTTTGAGGGGTTTTTTTTTCTTTTTTTCCATCTTTTTTTTATTTGAATTAGAAACAAGATTGTTTTACATGTAACTCCCAGTTCCCTCTCCCTCCCCTCCTCCCCTACCATCCCCCCTCAACTAAAACCCTACCTATCACATATCCTTTCTGCTCCCCAGGGAGAATGAGGCCTTCCATAAGGTGTCATCAGAGTCTATCATATCCTTTGGGATAGGGCCTAGGCCCACCCCCGTGTGTCTTGCCTCAGGAAGTATTCCTCTATGTGGAATGGGCTCCCAAAGTCCACTCCTATGCTAGGGATAAGTACTGAACTACTACAGGAGGTCCCATAGATTTCCAAGGTCTCCTCATTAAAGCCCACGTTCTTGGGGTCTGGATCAGTCCCATGCTGGTATCCCAGCTATCAGTCTGGGGACCAAGAGCTCCCTGTTGTTCAGGTCAGCTGTTTCTGTGGGTTTCATTGAGTTTTTTTTCTATTTTCTGATTTTTGTAAAGAAAGAACATAAAGTTGCATGGCTAGGGAGGTAGAGAGTTTCTATGAGGAGTTGGAAGAAGGGAAAAACAAGACCTCAGCATAAAACCAGACACATTGCCCAGCACTCAGGAGGCAGAAGCAGGTAGATCTCTATGAGCTCAAGGCTAGCCTGGTCTATAGAGCAAATTCCAGGAACAGCCAAAGTTACACAGAGAAATCCTGTCTTGGAAAAAAATAAAATAAAAAACAAAAACCAGACACATTAAACCTGATAGAAAAAAAAATAGAGAATAGCTTTGAATACATTGTCATAGGAGATAACTTCCTGAACAAGCACTAAGATCAACAATTAATAAATGGGACCTCTGGGGCTGGAGAGATGGCTCAGAGGTTAAGATCACTGACTGCTCTTCCAGAGGTCCTGAGTTCAATTCCCACATGGTGGCTTACAACCATCCGTTATGAGACCTGGTGCCCTCTCCTGGAAGCAGAATGTTGTATACATAATAAATAAATAAAATCTTGAAAAAAAAAATGGTGAGGTAGCACAACCTTTAAAAAAAAAAAAAAAAAAAAAAAACAATAAATGGGACCTCATGAAACTGAAAAGCTCCTGTAAGGCAAAGGACACTATCAAAAGGACAAAATGGCAGCCTACAAAATGGGAAAAGACTTTTTATATAAATGATAGAGGACTAACATCCAAAATATATAAAGAACTCAGGAAACTAGATATCAAAAAAACAAATATTCAAATTAAAAATGGAGTGCAGATCTAAACACAGAATTCTCAACAGAGGAATCTCAAAAAGCTGAGAAGCACTTAAAGGAATATTCAATATCCTTAGCCATCAGGGAAATACAAATCAAAATTACTTTGAAATTCCATCTTGGCTAGGATCAACAACACAAGCCAAAGCTCATGCTGGTGAGGTTGTGGAGCAAGGGGAACATTTCTCCATTGCTGGTGAGAGTGCAAACTTGTACAGCTACTTTGGGAATCAATATGGCAGATCCTCAGAAAATTGGGAATCCATCTACCTTAAGACCCAGCTATAGCAATCTTGGGCATGTACCCAAAGGACACTCCGCCTTACCACAAGGACACTTGTTCAGTTACATTCATTGTGGCTTTATTCATAATAGCCAGAAACTGAAAACAACCTAGATGTCCCTCAACCAAAGAGAGAATTAAGAAAATAAGTATATTTACAAAATGGAGTATTTAGATGTTTAAAAAAAAATGACATCAAGAAATTCGAAGGCAAAGGATAGAACTAGAAAAAAAAATCATCCTGAGGTAACCCAGACCCAGAAAGACAGACACAGTATGTACTCACTTATAAGTGGGCATTAGGTGCTGATAATCAAGCTACAATACAAAGACTCAGGGAGGTTAGTTAAGGAGAAGGGCTCTGGGGGAATTCATGGATCTCCCTGGGAAGGGGAAGTAGAATAAGTTTTGAGGGTGGACTGAGAGTAGGTGGGGAGGGATCAGGTGAAGGAGGGAGAGATGAAGGAAGAAATACAGGGAGAGACAGCTGGAATTGGGAGGCATTTGGGGGTCGGTCTGTCAACCTAGTGCACTGGAAACTCTCCAGAATCCATGAGTTTGACCCTAGTGAAACTCCCAGTAATGAAGGATATGGAGTCTTCTGTAACAAGGCAAAACTTCCAGTGGTGGGACTGGGTTGCATTCTCGGTTGAGTTGTTGGCTGAGGAGATTCCATGGAGATCCCTAAACAACCCAGCCTGCTGCTAGGACAGAGGGCTGCTCTCCAAAAACTGATGGAGGAAGGGGGAATTGCTGAGGACAACATCCTTACATCTCAGTGAATGACTTCACCCCTACAGTCTAGTCTCTTTGGCCTAGGAAGGTACTCTGCATGCTACAGAAAGAGAAACCTGGACACCAACCAACCACAAAACCCTCCACCAACAAAATGTCCTGCCTGCAAGATGTGCTAGGGCAATGGTGACTCAGAATATATGAGAAGTGGCCAACCAATGTCTGGTTTAACTTGAGGCCCATACCACAAAAGGAAACCCCCATCCTATACTGCCTAGATGGGCAGGAACTGGAGACTGGCTAGCCCAGATATCTATGGTAGAACCAAACAGGACTGTTCAAAAAGAAAGCAATGAAATGATTCCTAATGATATTCTACTACACTCATTGTCTAGTCATCATCACAGAGCCTTTCTCCAGTAGCAGATGAGAGTGGGTGCAGACACCCACAACCAAACATGCAGAGAGAGAGTCTAAACTGGAGGTCTCATCAAGTCCCTTCCTCTCAGATCTTGGGAAACCCTGAGGAAGAGGGGTTGTAGGAGTCAGAGGGGATGGAGGACACCAAGAGAGCATGAGTAGACTGCTCCCTAACAATTTATTGCTCATTATTACTACCTAGAGATTTCTGTTCTGTTACCACAATCTGTCTCTGTTGTGGGATATTTGTATACTGTGTGAAGATATATTATTGCTGTGATTGGTTTAATAAAGAGCTGAACAGCCTATAGCAGGGCAGGAGGTATAGGCAGAACTTCCAGGTAGAGAGAGAGGAAGTAGGAGATAAATCTAGATGCAAGAAAGATACTATAGAATGAATGAGACACACAGGATGGAAGAGAGGTAAAAGCCATGTGGCAAAATGTAGATTAATATAAATGGGTTAATTTAAGTTATAGGAGTTAGTGGGACAAGCTGAAGCTAAGGCTGAACTTTCATAATTAATAAGTCTCCCATCTTGTTATTTGGGAGCTGGCAGCCCAGAGAAAAAGACAACTACATGTCTCTCCACAGTTGAACTGAGTTTTGTAAGCTACTTTGGCCATTGTGGAACAGCTAGCTACCCGAACAGTAAACATGATGTTTATTTTTACCTAACATCATACTTGTCTTACCCAGCCAGCCACACAAAGTTTTAGTTCAATGCTGTCTGGCTTAGGACAAGTAGTATTAATTATGTCATTTAAAGGCACATTCACTTGGAGTTTCTGTAAGTACCTCACACATAAAATCATAATGAGAAAAAACACTTTCCTTTTTTTTTTCTATTTGTTTGTTTGTTTGTTTTTGAGACAGGGCTTCTCTGTATAGCCTGGACTGTCCTAGAACTTGCTCTGTAGACCAGGCTGGCCTTGAATTCACAAAGATCCACCTGCCTCTGATTCCCAAGTGCTGGGATTAAAGGTGTGTACCACCACTGCCCAGTGAAATAAGCCATTTTTTAAAACCTCAGATTTTCAAAAGTTTAACTCTCCAGTGTTGCATAATATTATTTTAAGATGTGTTACATTTGTTTATACTGTGGAACATTTGTTTAATGATGCAAAGATGTATTGCATTCTTTTGTTTCATTTGTTTAACTCTGTGAAGCTGTGTTCCTTTGCCTTGGAACACACTTGATTGGTCTAAAAAACAGCTAAATGGCCAATAGCAAGGCAGGAGAAAGGGTAGTTGGGGCTGGCAAGCAGAGAGAATAAATAGGAGGAAAAATCTTGGAAGAGAGATAGAAGATCAATGATCAAGAAAAAAGGAGGCCAGTCACCCAGCTACACAGCCAGTCACAGAGTAAGAAGGAAAGAAAAGATATTCAGAAATAGAGAAAGGTAAAAGCCCAGAGGCAAAAGGTAAATAGGATAAGTTAAGAAAAGCTGGCTGAAAATTCACCAAGCTAAGTCCAGGCATTCATAAGTAATAATAAGACTCCATGTGTTTGATTTATTTGGGAGCTGGGTGTCGGATCCCCAAAGAGCTAAAGCATAAAGAGTAAAGAGTAAAAAAAAACCACCAACACTCCAACCTTATTACTCCATTTTCAGCACTCATTAATTACATAGCAGCTTCATAAATAGCAGGTTTACTTTTGGAGAATAACAGTTAAAAATTTTTAAATCCAGGAGAAATTTTAGGATACTTACAGATGTCTGGGACATACTTGACTGTTGTGTGACACTTCCTGTGGGGGATGTAGATGGTCTTCCACTGGACAAACTTGCCTAAAATAATAAAACTATTATAATATGTCTATAAAAACTTAGTTAAAAACTTCCTTGGGGAGGGAACCAAACACTTCCTTGAGCCACAACTACAATAAAAATTCTCCAAGTCTTTGCATGAAACAAATAATTTTACAAGATGGCTTGACCCTGGTCATTTTTAAAGAAAAAGCAAAGATAAAAACAGAGGCCCCACTGGCTAGTCTCACTTCTCCATTTCTGTATGTATTTATTTTATGTTACTGTATACATGTGCTTCACAGAACACAACTTCTACTGTGTGGATCCCAGGGATCAAACTCAGTTCATCAAATTTTTTGCCAAGCTTAGCAGCAGGTGCCTTTACCCTCTAAGCCATCTCCATGACCCTAATATTGTTTTATTAGCTACACTCTCATACAGTACATTCTATTGGTAAACTGTCATATGTTATCTGAAGTCACTGAGCAGCATGTACTATTATGCATGTTTATTATGTCCCAAGCAGGTCTATTATGTCAAGTATCTACTGAGACCCCCTTGCCTGGGAATGGGCTGGACCTCACTAACTCTGTGGCACAAGGGAAGACACATAACAGCCTAAGAGTAAAAAAAAAACAAAAAACAAAACAAAACAAACAAACAAACAAACAAACAAAACAGCTAGAACACAAACCATCCCCATCCAAATAAAAGTGCCTGCACTGGGGCTGGAAAGATGGCTCAGTAGTTAAAACAGCTATCATGCAGATGGAGCAGAGTTGGATTCCCAGTATCCTTGGAGAGTGGTTCACACTGCCTGTAACTCCAGCTCCAAGAGACCCAATAGCCTCTCTGGCCTCCACAGGCACTAGCATACAGATGTGCATACAAACACACACACACATACGCATACATAAAATCCTTAAATAAGTAAATAATAAAAGGGAAAGAAAATCTGGAAGTTCAGCCATAGGGAGAAGGAGTGTGGGTGGAGCTCAACCATGCAGAGAAAGCTCAATTGGAAAATCTAAACGACTCCCTCATTTCTCTGTTATTTTTTGCTGGAGTTTGTAAGCACAAATTTGATGATGTTATCCAGATACTCTGCTCCAACTCGACATGTCTAATGGGAGCTCTGCTGGATGTCTGCAAGCCCCTGACCTGATGGTATGACTTCCCCCCTGTTACTTATGCTACTACTTGGGAGCCTTACCTCAGGGGACACTTCTCCATCCAGGACACTGTTAGGAAAACCAACTGCCTCAATGGGGTTTTGCCCTGCTGGTTGTTTTGAACACCTGATTTGATGTCTTCTTTCTATTTATCTATCCTTTTATTTTCACTTACTATCTACTTAATAAACTCATTCATTCAAAATAAAAAAAAAATGCCAGGTGGGGGTGGGGCATGACTTTAATCCCAGCAGTCCAGAGGCAGAGGCAGGTGGAGCTGTGAGTTTGAGGCCAACCTAGTCTAGAACAGAGTGAGTTACAGGACAGCCAAGGCTACACAAAGAACGCTGTCTCACCCAAAAAACAACAACAACAAAAAAATGACTATGATAGATCACTCTCCAGACTGTAGAACAATTCATCAATTTCACTCTACTATTGTCTTTAAAATTGAGTTCCCTACTCCATAAAAAAGAAGCTAAGAGCTGCAGAGACAGCTCTGTGGGTAAGAACACTTGCTCTGTAAGCCCAAGGACACTGAATTTGGATCCCTAGCATTCACATAAAAAGCCAGGCATGGCTTTACATTCTTTTAAACCCAATATTGAAGGAAAAGGGCAGGGAGATCCTGCAGACTGTAGCCTAGCTGAAACAGTGAGCTTCTGGCTCCAGAAAGACCCTGTTTCAAGGCAATCAGATGGGAGAACTACAGAGAAAGAAAACTAAGAAAGATACTGGTATCCTACTCTGGCCTCCACAAGTGAACATAGGTACACACATTACACACTTGGATACACATACAGGCTAATGTGTAAATCACACACAATACACCAAAACCACTAATAACTGTTAAAAAAGAAAATGAAGCCAGGCAGTGGCAGTACACACCTTTAATCCCAGCACGTGGGAGGCAGAGGCAGGTGGATCACTGTGAGTTTGAGGCTAGCCTGGTCTACAGCGTGAGTTCCAGGACAGCCAGAGATACACAGAGAAACCATGTCTCAAAAATCAAACAACAAAAAAAACTCTACTATTGAAGCCTGGCATAGTGGTACACATCTCTAATACCAGCATTTGGGAAGCAGAAGCAGGTGGAGCTCTATAAGATTGAAGCCAGCCTGGTCTACAGAGTGAGTTCCAGGACAGCCAAGGCTACACAGAGAAACCCTGTCTTGAAAAACAGAGAGAGAGAGAGAGAGAGAGAGAGAGAGAGAGAGAGAGAGAGAGAGAAATTAACCAGGCAGTGGTACACTTAATCCCAGCACTTGGGAGGCAGAGGCAAGCAGATTCTCTGTGAATTCAAGCCTACAAAGTGAATTCTAGGACAGCCAGGGCTACACAAAGAAACCCTATTTCAAAATAATAATTTCAAAAGTACACTATTGAAAAGAAGCAAGAGCTGGTACCTACAGATATCAGAATTTTTTTTCAGGTTCTTAGAATTTAGATTATTTTCTGGTGAGATTTAAGATTAACAACTAAATCTCACAAAAAGTTAAAACTGTACAATATTAATGATAATGTATTTTAAAATACAAACCTTTAGTCATAAAATCATGTTATTGATAGAACTAATTTCACTTTTAAGAAAGGTACACACATACACACACATCTGTATACTGTCACATGGCCACCTCTGAAGAACAGGAGTGACAGGTATAGAAAGAATGAGCAACTCTACCCCATCTTCCTCTTGTAATTTTATTCCATTTGATGTTCTTTAATGAATATAAACTACCTATATAATAAAAATAACTTACTTTTGCTTAAAAAAATGTAATTCATATAACCTTAAGTATTCAATGTTGTCCCTAAAATTTTAGAGACAAAGTATACCATATAGAGAGCATTTATCTAGCTTAGATAAAGAGCAACAAGACAACATACAAAATATACCCATTCTCCTCCCAGTGAACTTGTATTTATCGGCCAGTATACTAAACTACCTCCTCTAGGGAAACAATCACAGGACATTTCAGAACGCTGACAGATGAACACCTGCCAAGTTATCTTAGGTTATTACCGTATCTAACATAAACTGAGGCCTCACAAATTGTCCACTTATTTTCTCACCTGAACAGCAGCAAGGCTCTGGAGCTGGGAGCTGCTTAGATGCTGCTGCTGAAGAGCAGCTGTGTGCAGCATCAAGTGCTGTTGCTGAGCCGCGTACATCTGCTGGAGGTACTGAGCAGCCGAGCTGGGAGGGCGGTGCAATGCCTGTTGGATTACCTGTGATGAGGTAAGGGACCCTATGTCAAACCAGCATCTCAACCTCTGTCCTCCCCCTCGGCTTCTGAGGTTTATGCATGCTGAGCACAGACTCCACTGTAACTCCAGATCAACCATTAGATTAACCATAAACTTAGGATAGAAAGTGACAGCTTAAGTTTTTACGACTTTAATATTCAATATCATTAAGCTTATTGACACATTTACCTATTGTTACTTATCACTACTAGGTTAAATTACCCAGATGATTCACTTAAAGTAAAATGGGACAAATATGTGAAATCTTAAATCTCATTAGTAGTCCAAAAACTTATTAATTAAAGTGGTACAGCAATTTACAACTTTTGGACAGACAAAGATCCAAAAGATTACTACTACTGACTAGGAAAATAACCCTTCCTATACTAGCAGTAAGAATTTAAGTTTTATAGCCTTTCTATATACAATGTGGTAGGTTTCAGGGCATATGTATACAGAGTGCTTTCGCCATGTATCATTGCAAACAGTAATACAGACATGCAATGACCACCAGCTACATGACCAGCAAGTACATAAAAAGGGCTAAAGAAGTGAATTTTAACTTTAAACTGAACTTGAATATTAATTTTAATATAAATCGCTACAAGTATACCTAGTGATTCTGTATTACATAATGGAGATATAAAGCTATACAATATAAAGAACCAATACATTACAAAGTGAAGAAAATAATTTTGAGTAGGATACCATTTGATCTTAAAAATTCTGAAATATTCAAGGAGATAAGGTGAGTATATTAGCAATGACCTTTAGTGTCTGGTTTAAACATTGTATAAGATTTATAAGATTCTCAGCCAGGGAGTGGTGGCACACACCTTTAGTCCCAGCACTTGGGAAGCAGAAGCAGGCGGATCTCTGTGAGTTCAAGGCCAACCTGGTCTATAGAGCAAGTTCCAGGATATCCAGGGCTACACAGAGAAACCATGTCTCAAAAAACAAAACAACAACAACAACAAAAAAAAAAAAGGCACGTCTCTTTAAAAATGACTCAATTTTTTATTTTTAAAAAATATCTGATTTTTTTGTTTCCACAAAGGAATAGTCTTAATTATCTCTTAAAAATTGTATTTCTTTATTTGTGTACTGGTGTACCATGGCATACATATGTGTGTGAGGTCAGAGGACAGCTTACAGGAGCTGGTTCCCTCCTTCCATGATGTGGGCTCTGGGAATCAAACTCAGGCTGTCAGGAATGAAGACAAATGCCTTTATCTGCTGAGCCATCTTATCAGCTCCTGGGACTTTGATGGAAGAGCATTTATTTAAAAAAAAACTCCTAGAATTGGAGGGCTGGCTCAGTTAAGGACCTGAGTATGGTTCCCAGCACCATGTGGCAGTTGACAACCACTTACAACTGTAGTTCCAGAGCATCTGACACCATCTTCTGGATGGTAAGTAGCACATACATGGTACACAGATATACATGCAGGCAAACACACACATTCAAAATGTAGACAGCGCTGGAGTGATGGCTCAGCTGTTTTGAACACTTGCTCTTCCAAAGGACCCAGATTCAGTCCCCAGCACCCACTGTGGTGGCTCTCAACCATCCATAGCTCCAGTTCTACAGGACTGGACACCCTCTTCTGACCTTCCTGGACTTCATGTACTTGGAAGACATACATGCATGCAGCCAAAACACTCTTACACAAATAAATCCAAATATTTTTAATAAAATAGAGTAATTCTGTTAAAAATAAACTCATAAAAATCATTAACTATAGTAATTGTTAATAGATATAAAATCTGAGCATACACAGAGAGGTCAAGTAGTCTAAAATGACAATAGAAAAATCCTCCCTCCATCTGTTCAAAGGATAAGTCAGACTGCCTCATCATGCCCTCTATGACTCTGAAGCAGCATACACAGAGCTCTAATCTCAGCATTGCAGGAGCGTTTTCACAGTAGCAATGGAGTAAGTGTATTCAAATCACAGTAAGACAGGATGTCTGATATAAAGCCAAGAATCCCTTACTCAGATTGCCATGAGTTACTGTTCATTTGCATGTGTTCTTATCTCTCAACAACTACAGATGGTCCCTGCTACAAACTCTTCTCAAGATTCCTAGTTGAGTCCTCAAAGCAGAAGACTATGGATAAAACACTAAATGACTCAGAACAACAATGTTTCTCTTTGGTCAGATAAATCCACATATGATCATTAATTCCATAACAAATATCTAAGAACTCACACTCAAGAGCAAGTGAATAATCAACTTGAGGTCTCATTCTCTCAGTATAGTGATGTCCCGTGTCAGCATAGTCTATTCACCATAGATACCTACTATAATTACACATTATACCATTTTTATTTTGTTTCTCTACTGAAACCAGGGAGACTAGTCCACATGACTAAAAAAGAAAGCTTGAAAGTTAAAGAGCAATTAAGGCTGGGTGGTGGTGTCGCATGTCTTTAATTCCAGCACTTGGGAGGCAGAGGCAGGCAGATCTACAGAGCTAGTTCCAGGACAGCTGGAACTACACAAAGAAAACCTGTCTGGGGAGGGGGGCAGGGAAAACAAATTAGCTGGTTCAATGAACATGGCTTTGAAACATTTTAGATGAGGTAATTCAATGATCTGTAATAACTAGAGTTTGTGATTCCTGTGAGACATATCAGCACCTGCAATGTCTCTAAGTAACATTTCATTTATAAATTTATCCAGCTTAACTGAATAAGCTGGATAAATGAAAAAATAGCATAGTCAAATATCATATTATCTGTATGTTCTTCAATATAATATCCTTCCATACATCACTCACCACAGAGAAAAAAGAGGACGTTAAAAGCATGCTGTGCATTCAAGTTTGAATTTCTGCTACGCTAACTAGGTCTCCAACAGTTCTCTATCTAACATGAAAGAACAGAGCAGAGTGAGCAGTATAGCACAGTGAATAACTTTGATCCCCAGCACAAAACAAAATACAACAACAACTTTAAAGAATGCAATTGAGGGTCCTATAAAATGAAGGCAAATAACATAGAAGCAGCAAGAACACAGAGTAGCTTATAGCAGAAGCTGAAATCAGAAGACCTAGCAGCAATGTGAGTTTGGAATTATTTAGCCAATTTAAAACACTGGTTTTCCCATTTGTAAGATGCCTGCTGTATAAAGGTCTGGTGAGGATTAAACAAAATAATCCACATAAGGAAAGCATTCATTGAATGCTTAGCACAGAAAATAGTTCAATAGACAGATACTATGGTCATTTATTAGTGACCTATAACATCCCCCCCACAGTTCTAGATGTTTCATTTAATTCTCATGATAACTGATAAAAGTACACAGTGTTATCCTCTTTTTACCGTTTCCTGGGACTCAAGAAGATGATTATGTCCTCTGCCCAAGGGCACACAGAGTTCACAAAGAACCCATCAGACTGCAACACTCATGTCTTTTTAAAACAATACTTCATTGTCTCCACTGGTATAAAGTTCAACTAAATCAATTTTACTTTCTCAACTAAGTGACTACATAAAAATCTTTCAAAATATTCTCTTCCCACTCTACCCCAAGAAGCTGTAGAGCCTTCCTGCTTAGTGTTCTTATACCACCTGAAAGTGAGAAGTTCTCTGTAAGTTGCCTGGTGGGCTCAAGTATAAAATAAGCCAGAAAAGCAGCTATCCTAAATATCTAACAATCATATTTTCACTCTTACAGCAGCACTTAAGAGACATTCAATTATAATTTTCCTGACACGAAATCTTATAAGCTTCATGTGGACAAATGTAAGCCCTCTCAACAGTACAATTATTAAATAACTTTATTGGTCTTAAAAAAACTTAATTTTTTTTTCTTTTACTTGGTTTTTGGCAATGCTAGAGATCAAACACAGACTAGCAAGCACTCAGCCACTGAGCTATATTCCCAACCTGAACTATTACAATTCTACTATGGATACGAATCAACACATACAGCTGACATAGGCACAAAACAGTATGACATTTTTCAGTCTTAACCTCCCCATATGGCTGAAATACCTGAACAGCGTGTCGGTCTGAGCCACTGTAGACAGAGATCTGTGGTTGCTGCATTCGAGAGGAGGAAGTGGTGATGGTGGTGGTGGTAGTGCTACTGGCTGTTGTTGACACAGAAGATGTTCCAGAGTTTGGTTCGCTATCCATGGCTGCACTGTGATCCTTAAACCTGGTAGACAACACAAAGGATCAGTACTGGTAAAAAGCACTATCCACTATAAAGAAATAATTAGTTCTGAGTTGAAATGTTTGGGAAGGCCTTAATACAATAAAGCTAGCAACACAGTCACCAAATAGATGGGAAACATACTTCCCCCATATACAGAATAGTCGATGGGTATATCTGCTAAACTGAATTCAAATAACTCAGAACAGTAACTAAAATGAAGCCTACATTGAAGTTTATGTTTGCATTATTGAAAAGGGGGCAGATTTGAGAGACAGGGTCCTAGTCCTAACTAGCAATCTGCAATTGATACCCATTAGAAGTGGAAAATAAATTTTCTCCAATGGAGTCTCACTGGATATATCAATCAACCCACACATCAGGGCAGGTCCCATGCTCAGGAGTAGTTAGACAACACAGAACTTTTGTTGATGTTTTGCTACATTTTGCTTCATTTTGGCAATTTGTGACTAGAATTGGTCTTGTGCCTATTTATTTTGATTTTCATTTTTGTAGGCTTTTGTAGGGAGTTGTATATTTCTGGGGTTTTCTTTTACACCACCTCTCCAGACAGAGTTTCCCTCTGTAGACCAGGCTGTCCTGAAACTCAAGGAGATTCACCTGCCAAAAGGCATGTGCTACCACTGCCCAACAGTTTCTGGGGGTTTGGTTTTGGTTTTATGTTTATTTGTTTAAAAAAGACTGAGAATTAAAAGAACACAAAGTTGAGTAGCAAAGGAGGTAGGGACACTCTGGGAGGAACTGCAGGGGAAAAAACATGATCAAAAATATTCTATGAAAAATTTTTTCCATAAAAAAGATTTGAAGCCAAGTGATGATGGTGGTGATGGAGGCAGGGGCAGAGAGATCTCAGTGAATCTGAGGCCAACCTGGTCTTCAAAGTGAGTTGTCCCAGGACAGACAGCCAAAGCTACACAGAGAAACCGGTCTCAGAGAGAGAGAGAGAGAGAGTGAGAGAGAGAGAGAGAGAGAGAGAGAGAGAGAGA